TGAGGTCACCTTGAATAGTGCTGTGATCATCTGTGTGCTCTCTCTATAAAAGAATTCAAACACACACTCTCCCTTTTTCTCTCAGCAACAGGCGACAGTAAATGGTCGGTCCACTTCACTACCCAGAAGCAGAACCAGGATCTGGTCTTTGTACCTGCAAAGAGACGATCTGGCAGCGCAGAAGACCTGAGTGGTGAGAAAATCGATCCTTTCATCAGTAACTTGAGTTATAACTGTAAAACTAATGAATTAATTAATTCAATTCTCTTATTAGGCAACTAAAGTTAGCAAACTACGTACTATCCAATATAAAAGTTCAGTGGAGAAAACCAGTGTTTTCTTCTTACAAGGACACAGGACCTGCAGCTCTACTGCTGCCTTCATTAGTGTCACTAAGGGACCATAAGATGCAGCAGCAGTTCAGCAGACCATCATCCAATGAACTAATATCCCAAACTGCATCACCACTGCTGCAGTGCTGTGTGTCACCATTTAATCTGTATGTGTGTGTATGTGCGTTTTATATACAGTGTGTAACAGTCTGCTGACTCAAGAACATGTCTCTGTGGAAGCACACCTCCACCAACCAGGCTCCACCCACTCTCCCTCCTCATACGGCCTTCTGGACCAGTCAGAAGGCACAAGCAGCAACATCAGCTGGAAAAATAGAAGCAGAAAAATGGTTGGTCCTTGGTTCCCTCCACACACACACACACACACACACACTCAGTCTCATGAATATTAATGAGGCTGCAGTAGAGCAAAATGCTGTTGTCAGAAAGTCTGGTTTCCCTCGCAGGTGGTTTAGCCTTCTTTTTTTTGTTGTTGTTGCTTTTGTTCAAATGTATTATTAGGCATTTTATGTTGCTAATTATCCTACTTTGTTCTATAACCTACTGTCCTAGCTAATTCTAAAGAACCCCACAGTTAAATTGCTGTTCAATTAGCTTACAGCCTTGGTTATAAGCTTCCTTGTCTTCTTTTCATATCACCTTTGTCTTTTCTTTTCCAGTCTCTTCTTGTCTTCTCCTCTGATCCTCATTCATATTCTTCATCTTCAATCCTGTCTCTTCTCCCCTTTTCTCCCTGTTCTACCATGTCTGCCATTTATCCACTACCGTTCTTTGTTGTTGTCTCCTTGTCCCTCTCCTTTCTTTTTCTTTTGTCTTCTCTCATCAAATATAATCTCTTTGTCTCTCCTTCATTTCTTCTAATGCATTTATTTCCTTGTGTTTATTTGTTTTTTCTCCCCGTCTTCTCTGTTTATACTCTCAGAAATCCATGTTGTTGGACTTTCTTTCTCAGTCTTGCTTTTCAGTTTGTTTCAACTTTTCAGTTTGGAGCAGAAAGGTAAAATGACCTCATGTGAAATAGTTTATATCACAACAGAAAGTGGACTTAGTCCTTCATAGAGCCGTTGTCTACATGGGGCTTCCACTTATCGTGATCAGTTTTGTGGTTCTAATTGCTTACAGTCTTCTACGTCTTCGCACAAGGACGAACAGTTCTTCCTAAACCACGTCCGACCAATGACTCCTTTGGTCCTGAACCCAGTTCACCTCAACAGCAGCTGGGACGACTTTGTACCTGCCGAGAAACTGGCAGGTAACCTGGAGGTGGAACCAAACTCTCGACTCCCAACCCCAGAGGAGAAAACGAGATGGCAGTCGGAGGCAGTTCCTAGTGATATCGTACCGATCAATATCACTGGTAGAAAACCTAAGTGGACCTAATTTAAGAACTTAACGTTACTCCAACACTTGAGTGTGACTCAGCTCTTGACAACTTCATTATTGGTATTTCTTTTACTTCTAAGGTGAGAGTTTTGATCGTCAGGCAAGTTTCAAGAGAACCTGCTCCAATGTGGACTCTATGACTCGCCATCCCTCTAAACTCATTCGCCACAAGACAGTGAATGAGACTCCTGAAACCATTAACAGGAAGCCAGGTGTAAATTTCATCCAAACAGAACCATCAAATGAATGCATTGTTAAAAGAATTAATCTAGTACTAATTTTTCTCTTGAATGTCAGCTTTTCCAGATCCATCCTTAGGTGGTCCTGGTCAGCTCTCTGTAGTAGTACAACCTTTTCCCTCCTGCACCTCCTTAGATCAACAAAAAGAGGAAGAGAAGACCGAAATCATGAAACTCGAGCAGTTATCAAAAGGGAAGATTCAAGCACCAAAGCAGGAAGTGATGTTGAGCAGTTACAGACACCATTCACTGCATCTTGACCTGTCTACAAGAGTCCTACCACAACTAATTTCATCTTCTTTACCTTCTACTCCAAGCCACAGCCTGGGACCAGAAAGGCCTCTTTCCCACTATTCCTGCTCCCTTACATCAATCCCAGTCTTAGAATCTCACTTTGATCACCAGTCTTCCAATGGACTGACTCCATATCACCAACACCAGGATAATGCTGAAGGGTGGAGCTACAGACCCTTTTCTCAAAGCTCAAGTGTCCAAAGTGATTGCACTGGGCAGAAGTGGAAGGAAGGTTGCAAACCCCTTCTGTCTTCTGGTCACTCCTCACCAGCATACCCTGATACCACTTCTCTGTATTCAGGTAGGACTACCTCCTCTAAATCACTACATCAGGTGAAAAGGACCTCCTCATCCTCATCCCACTCCTATACTGGGAGAATATCCCTCCGTAAGTCTAAGCGCCCGCCTCCTCTACCTTTACGTTCAGATTCTCTAAGGCGCCGGCCAGGTTGTAGTAAATCTTCACTTACCTCCTCCAGTACCCGTCAGGAGCCTAATACATCTCCTCATGACATTTGTCTTGATCCTTGGGTTCCTCGTGGAAATGCCAAAATACACCAGAGTGGCATGACCTGCACAACAAACGTAGCCTTTGAGTCCTCAGACCTTGAGGCAACACCAACTGATGAGGTGGAGATGCTGACATTTATTCACACATCTACCAGCAACTCCTCTGATCTACCACACCTTGCATCTCCTTCTAGTGGCTACTCAAGTGACTCCAACACCCCCTTAACTGGAACTCCCTTGTCCTCCCCTCTTACTCCTCCCTTCTCTATTACACCATCTCCAGGAGTTTTCTCCCATCAACCCCCATCCCCCCTTACCTCACCAAACATATCTAACCCTCCTGTGTCGCTTCCATTTACCTTACTGCACAGGAAGAACTCTTGGACTGAAGGAAAACAAAAACCACCAGTTCCAGAGAGGAAATCATCACTTGTCTCCTCCCACTCCTCTACCACCTCTCTATCCTCCAGTATGTCTCCAGAATACTCTTGTAAGGGCACTCTTCTTCTTTTGCCATCTGCACCTGCTTCTCCTCCAATACCAGAGCGTAGCTCCTCTGAAAAGGCTTTAATCCCCTGTACCTACAATCAGGCTCCACCTGATCCTATTGATCCCTTCCTGGTGTCTTCTTCTTTTATTGAACTTTCTGTTGCTTCTACCAGCACTACTTTTTCTCACCTTTTCACTTCATTATCCCCTACACAACCTTCATGCCCATCTACCATTTCTCCTTCTGTCAAACTCTCTTTAGCTCCTCCTGCACCACCTTCTCCTCTTCCTTCACCCTGGCAACTTGCTTCTGCTACGTATGACCAACTCAATGGAGCCCAATCTTTACCACCATTTTCTCTTCCACGCACAACATCATCTCCTCCATCCTCTGCCAAACTTTCTGAAATGTCTTTTCAGCCATCTCCTTTTCTTTCTTACTCCAGCAAACCTGTTCCTCCTATTTCTGGACCTTCTGTAGCTCCTCTTGTTACTTATTCTACTACGTTGCAGGAACTTGTAGCCCCTCATCAAACAATTCCACCGATATCTCTCTCATGCATGCCTGAAGCTTCATCTCTGTCTTCAGCTGGACCTTTACTTCCCCCTCTTCCACTACCTCCACCTCTTCCTCCATTGTTTCTGCCGATGGCATGTTCTCCTTCTTCTGCCAAAGTCTCTGTATCTCCTCCTCCACCACCTCCTCTTCCTCGTCCCTGCTTACCAATCTCTACCACCCTCTCCTTCTCTGCAACTCCTTTTCCACCACCTCTATCTCCTTCTCCTTTGTTCCTTCACATGTCTCCCCTTTCGTCTGCTAAACTGTCTGGAGATCTTTCTCCACAACATCTATCTCTTACTCCACTACCTTCCTCTCCTCAAACTTCTCCCTCTGCTCCCTCTTCCAACATTTCTACACCTTGTCCTTTTCCTCCTTTATGCCCGACTACAGCTCTTAGTCATTGTTCTACCAAACTCTCTGAACTATCTTTGCATCCATCTCTACGTCTTTCTTTAACTGCTCCACCACTTCCACCACCTCCTCCTTTACCATTTTCTTTTCGCCCTTCTCCTCCTCCTTACTCATATGCTGTCAGACAGAGTCCCCGTAATTCCATTGTTTTAGAACAGGTAATTTCTGGTGAAAAAATGAAAGGACTTCTGGCTACCAACTGTGTTTCAAGAGACATTAATCCGAATGACCTTTCTAATATTGATGTTAAGATAGGTCAAGTTAATGTTGGTCCCCTCGTTTCAGATCAGTTTCAAACTAAACACAAAGCAGATGAAAAGAATCCTTGCTCTGCTAACAGGAATACAAGTATAACCATTTTAGTGTCAAAAGAAAACCTTATTATCTCTGATCCTGATTGCCCAAGGGTGAAAATGTCATCCGACAAAGAACATTTTGATGAACCATGTCTCCAGGAAGAACAAGAAATTAAACTATCTGCAGAGGAACCACAAAATCCAGAACTTTTTTGCTTGGCAATGTCTTTAGACTGCACAATCTCAGCATCAAATCAAAACAATCTCCAAGGAAAAGAGAAAGAAATTAAAAACCTGTCAGAGAGAAACCATAGTGTAGCTAGTTTAAAAGAGTACCCGAAAGAAACGACAAGTCATCCAGTCAATCCTAGGTTTCCACAGAAGCCAGTCTTGCCCAAAAAACCTGATCTTTGCATTCTTGGGCTTAGCTCATCTCCTAAAGCCAAACCAGAACCTAGAGAAAAGAAACCTACAGATGTGGCCACAATATCCTGTTCTGGGCTTCAAGCATCATACCTTGATTCTACAAAACAGACATCAGTACACTTAACAGATAGCACCTATGGGTCACTGGTTGGATCCATTAAGTTGGAGAAGTCACCAGTGCTGCACAAGAAGCCAAACTTAAACCTACCAAAGGAGCTTTTTAGGCCTAAGAATATTCTTGAAGATTCCGAGAGTATATTTGAGACTACAACAGGAAAAATCATAGGCACCAATAGCACCTTGGAGGACTGCTTTATCTCAGAGGCTTTAAGCACCCGTAGCAGTTCATGGAACATCAATGCCATATCTCGACCCTGGAAATCCATGGAAAATTTAAGCACCCTAGTGAACTCAGGGACCCATGACAGTGACACCCAAATAACAGTAACAGGCCCAAGTAGAACATGGAACACACAAGAAACATCACTGCTAAATTGTGACCCGAATACTATGACTGAAACCATGTGCACAGAGCCTTTGGAGAATTCAAGCATCTTAGGAAACTTGAAGGCACCTGGGAGCAGTACCCAGACCAACTGTGGTTCGTTGATCAAGGATGAAGAAGAAAACAAGAAGATGGAAAAAAGACAGACTCCCATGATGATCCCAATGAATTCATCTGAAAAGAAAAAAGCCAGGAAGAAGAGAAAGATGCGGGTGAAGAGGCAACTCCTAATGATGTCATCAACTTTTGAAGCCTTCCCCTCGTCTTTATCACCATGCTCTTCTTCAGGAGAAGAACGTGATGTAACTAAAAATGGAACTGATCAGACAGAAGACGTTGCAGTCACATTCACTCCACAGATGAGTGACTCTGAAGTGTCCTGCACTGATCAGACCCAGTCCTGCCTCAGCAGTGCGCTGTCCACAGATAGACTTTCAGAGGATCTGTCAGTTCCAGACCTACTGATTCATGAAGAAGAGCCAGAAGAGGAGGAAAGAGAAGTTGGTTGGAATCCAGACGGTAAGAAACAGTTGTGCTCTTTAAGCCTTTGGTAACTATGTAGCATTGGTACTGAGTATTTATAACACCACTCGTTCTTCTATTTGTGTCTAGACAACCAATTTGTCAGTATCTCAGCTGATCAGATGTTTGATTCTGGTAAACCACGAACCACGGAGGATCTGTTTGTCGCCATCCACAGGTAAAAGTTAACCCTTACCATGCTTGAGTTTACGTACTATTCCATCCAGTAATTTTAATGAGTTTCATGTGTCTAATGTAAATCATCTTTCTGCATCCATGGAGCAGTGAAATGTGAAAAGGTACAGTATCAATGTTCCAATGTCTGGGTTCAGGTCTTTGGTGTTTGGTAAAGTACCAGCTTCTAGGTCCTTTCTCCTTTAGTCCCTTCTGTATTCCAAAATTAAATTGATTCCTCAAATCTTCCAAAAGGAATCTTAACTTTTGGCAGTCTCTGCCAGAAAAACACAAAACTCTAATTTTTCCTGTTTATTTCAGGTCCAAAAGGAGGATGCTAGGAAGAGGAGATTCCTTCTCTGCTTCTTCTTGTTCATCCTTCTCTTCCCCGAGCATCCCAAATGAATATACACCTCATTTTCAAGACATAGTTCCCAAGAAGTCCATGACGAGTGACAGCTTCAAGGCGCTTCTGCTGAGGAAAGGTAGTCGTTCGGACATATCGTCACGAATATCTGCTGTAGAGCGGCTTTGCAAAGCTGCTCCTTATGCAAATGTCAACAATGGCGGGAAGAGTACATCGTTGTTGCAAAGGCCACTAGAGCCATTCCAAGAAGAACTCTTGATCTCCTCATTTACTCTGAACAAACTCAACCCAGCTCTGGAAACATCAGTGTCTGCAAATTCTCCAAGATTTTCTTGGATATTAGGACAAAGATATCACGGAAAGACTTCCTCCTTGTCCTCCCCGTTCATCTTTTTCTCCTCCTCCGGCCGACCTCGCTCCCTTACTCCTCCCTGCTCCAGCAGCCGGCACTTTGCTGCTCGTTGCCGCCTTCACGCTGCACCAATGACAGCCATATTTGAAGGGAGAAATGAAGAAGAGGAAGAAGAGGGGGATGTCATTCCTACAGAAACATGTGATGGAGAAGTCAGACAGTGCTTGGTGGAGATTTCCAAATGGGAACAGTAGGATTTTATAGGAAGTGGATCTGCTCTGTGATGTCTCATCTTCTCATCTCATCAAAGTGTTGTTGTGCATCATCTTGCCATGCCATCAGTTTTACAGTTAGGTGGGTTTTTTTTTTTTCAAACTCTGGCAACTGGACGTAGTAGGTTAGTAGGTGGAGCTACTAACACAAAATATCATGTGTGATGTGTAAATCAGTTTGAATCATAAAACCACCAAACCTGGTTTAACACAGCCTACGCGCTTTAGCATCAATCCTACCGTGTCAGGAGGATCAGAATCACTGCTAGTCCAAATATTTTCGCCCTCATCCATACTGACTATTAAAGTTTTGGGCTAGTAAATAAAAAAATATTCTTATTCATTACTCATTGTCTGCCCAGGTGAAAAACTTTACAAGTGAGATCAACAAAATGGGTTCTCATAAAAATCAGCTGTGTCGACAGCAAATGCGGCCTTTACTGGCTGCCACATTTTTGTTATTTTTGTAGAGATTCCTTCAAGATCACCTTGTCTTGGTAAATGTTTGATCCTTATGTAGAGCACAATCTACATACAGGTCACTTTCAGATGCTCCCAATTTATCTTCTTATATAGCTACACAAAGATTTACCTCAAACTGTTCGCAATTTCATCTTTTATTGTTTGGATGCATTCATCCATTTTGCTTAAAGCTAATTCACTTTTGTTTTATACAATTTTCTCATTGTTATTGTTAGGAGTGTTAGACCATTAAGTCAATGCAATTGCATTGAAAGTAAACTTTTAATCTCCCAAAATGTATGCAGACGCAGACGAGTCATGATAACTGTAGCACATTATTTATTTAGCTGTATATGCGCCTTGATAATCCTTAATTCTGAAGCAATCTATTAGGAGTAAAATAAAATCAAGATTTTGAATTTTTTAGGAAATTGCAGTAAATACTCACTGTGCTAGATACAGATTGGTGAAAGTATAGGTTGTTAAAAATGCTGTGATATATAAATAGAAAAAGTTTATACATTCAAAAAATAAAGAATAACTTCTAACTAATAAACAATACTCGCTTGTTTGTTTTTGTTCCATATGACCGTTAGACCTCATCTTCATTTAATTTGATAAAGCTGGACGTCCAACAGTGGATGGTAATTTTACAAACACGCTCTTTCTTTCACATTTGCTCAGATTGACCTCGGTGACGTGAACTGACAACAGGAGGCAGCAGCTGATAAACAGCTTTTATCTTCCTTTGAGCTAAAATCACTAATTTTATGGTTGTTCTCTAGGGCCATGGTGTGGAAGAGTGAACCAATAGAAAAAATGTGTTAACAAGTGTCTGTAAACGTTGCCTTGTTTCTGCACTGGCTGCAGTATGACTTCGTAGCCACAGAGTGGTGTCGATGTTTCTGTCCCCTCATCTGGTCTGACTTAGTATCTGGTGTCTGCTGTCAGACGTGACCAAATGGAATTTAAAATTGTGTTTTGGTCTTCAAACTTTTTTTTCACGTTCATATAGATAGAAAATTAGGTCAACTGGGGGTTTCTGGAGGTTCCACTAGAACTTAAGACACGAGTAGGTTTCAAATTTGAAACACATTGGTGTAAGTATAGGGTTATTCTCTCTCTATCTCTCTCGCTCTATATATACACATATGTTAATATATATCTATATATAATATATAGATATAGATATATATAGATATATTAGAACAAAAGTGTAGAAGGTCCTTCACATATGCACATATACATATTTGTATATATGTACATATATTTATATGTGTATACATATATACATATATGTATATATGTGTGTATATATATATATATGTGTGTGTGTGTGTACATATGTACATGGTACATGTTCTAAAATCAGTTTCTGGTTCAACCTGAGCAAAAACAAAAGCTCAGTGTCTTCATGCAACTGCTCCTTACTCCTCATCCATGGGCCCTGACAAATTAGATTCCCTTAGGAATAAAAGGTACTGAAACTGATTTATACACCTATGCCCTAAAACTTCACTGAAGATTTGGCATGTCATTTGGACATGGCCTGTCGTGTTGCGGCAACCACTGAAACCAGATCACATGTTGCTTGCGGTCAAAGGATCTGAGCAGCTGCTGCTGGAATCGTGATTCATGTCTAAACCAGGCTAACATGCCCACGGACACACAATGACCCTGAGTGACTTGTAGAACCAGCCTGTGTATAATCTGGGTCATTTGCACATCCCATCAGACCTTTGACTGTCACAGAAAACCCTCCATTGTTATTTCCTCTACATATTTTTTTCAGTAATTTTTTTGTAACTGTTTAATACGTAACATCGCACTCTATTCACAGAGAGTGATCCGCTGCTGCTTTCATCAGCAAGTTTAAATGTGTTGATTGTTGTTGGTTAATTGTTTAAAATCCTTTGTTCAGATTTAATCCACTTACATTGACCACAGCGGCAACTTTGTCAGTGTGGGCTTAATTCCTGGGCAAATTTACTTTACTCAGTAAATACATTTTAATCAATTTGACCAAGCTAGGTTTGTGTGTGATGGTGAGTGACTTAAAAAGTTTAATTTCCTGTTGTAAAATGTCTGAGTGACATAACAGTGTCATCCGTCCTCATTGATAATTGTAGGTGAAAGTCAGATTTTTAACCTAACAGGAGTATGTAGAGTGAAACCTGACTCTGACTGTTGGGAGATAGTTTTGAGTACCTGTGGTTTCATTCATTTTGGCCTTTCTCTGTGTGTGCATGTGAATATGAATGTGTGAACAGAAAATTAGCTGAACAGAACAGTGTGTGTGTGTGTGTGTGTGTTGTTTCCCTCCATCACCATTGCAGTAAAACCAGCATCTCTACTATTGTGACAGAATTCACAGAACCTCCCTAGAGTACCAAGGTCCTGTGGCCCAGTACCAGAGGGTTTTTTAACCCAGAAAAGAGCTACAATATTTTGATGTTGTTTTGGTTCATGGTACAGGAGGATTCAGAAGTGTAGGTTTATTAGACCTGTTTGGACAGAGATTAGAAGTTGTTAGACACCTTCCAAACCTGGGATGCACACCAAACACCAGTGTGGTGTGGAACAAGTGAATGGTGTTTACACCCTAAGTTTGACTACCGTGAGAAAACATTTAGATCCAGGATGTTGGTTCTATTAACAACCTTCTGTGGGAGCCTGAGTAAATACAGGTTTATAACACACGAGCACATTCCTGATAAATCCTGACTGTTGGTAGAACAACTTTCACGATAACTTAAAGTTGACACAGGATCTTCTGTGTTTAAGGCAGATGTGTAAGACAGGCATGATAACCGCTACACTATTGAACCACAACAACAACAACAACATGATGGATCCGCTCTGAATCTGTTTTGGACAGTGGTGGCACAGACATCCTGATAACAAGATAAAAACACTGGGATAAAGACATGAACAGATTTTGAATCTATCGTAGACTTACGTTGATATTGATTTGGTCATGGAAGCTGGAGTGCAGCAGCGATTACCTGATCCCAGTGGTGTAACCATTGTAGATGTTATTAAAAGGATGTAAGGATTAACCTAATCAAATATTGGATCTGCACATTGTTGCCAAAAGGAATGTCAAAAATCTTTGTATCATTAAAGGCTTTTGGAAGGTTCACTGAGGGATTCCTGAAGAATTTAAAGTTTGACAATGTGTTTAGTCAACCTAACAATGTTAGGAGGAGAATGTTCTGGTCCACAGATAAACCCTCAGGAACCTCATGGCAGAGGTCCACAAGATACCGGATCCTCAACTATTGTCTACGTCTTTAAATGAGCAAAAACAAAAGCATCATTTACCTTGAATGTTTGTAAGTTAGTTTACAAAAAACATGTGTGTGTGTGGAGATAGACATATACAAATAAAAACTATTAGATAAAAATATGTATCATAACAGATATATTATCCAGCCTTAACAAGTTCTTATTTTGGCTTGAAGACTATCTATATAAGAATATCTAACAGATAACTAACGAAAGAAAAAAAGACGAGAACTAAACTAAAGTTAGCTCGAGGAGTCAACAATTAGCCAAACGCTCGTCATTTAGACAAAAGATCAAATCTTACCTTAAAGGCTGTAAGATAAAAACACACAACTGAAGGTGAAGATTGTTACAAACATATCACTGATATTCTTTATGTGACTTAATAAAGAGAATCGTAGCCAGTGTGTTATAGACATTCCAACACCGACAGACAGAGAGCAGTTTACAAGATTCTTGTAAACCTCACTCGTCCCTTTATCCACTGACGTCACTGTAGTACTTTTTCTTAGGCGCCGATTGGGGGCGATGTTGTACAGGCAGGATGTAAATGTCATCTGTCATAACTTTCCCTTTTTAAAACTGTCATGACGTACCCTCACACGTCCGTGTTTGCAGGAAAGCTCGTGTACTTTACGAAGGAGGAGGACAGGGGAGTTCGCATAGTCTGCGCCAAAAACCTGCACTCAGTCCAGTCCAGACCTGGACGTTTTCACGTCGGTCCGCAGAATACATGCATGAAAACCAGTACCAGGATCGTAGTTTATAGGCTCCATTGCATACCCGAGCCGGTGTAGGATGGTTGTGGAGTTCGGAATACTGTTCCAGAAAAGTCCAGGTTAAAGAATATATAGTTCCAGGACAGAGAGAGGACAACCAGGTGAGAAGAACCGGGACCAGGAGGAGGAGAAGGAAGACAGGTAAGCAGGGTCTATTTTTAGGCACGCTGCAAACTCTAAAAAAAAGTTCACACTATTTGCATTCGAAAGTATTTTAATTTCTATATCACAGCAGAAAATATTTTGACTCAAAAGTTTTTTAAGCCTTTAAAGCCAAATAAACAACAGCTGTTACAAGTGTTTCCCTTACTAGTACTATTTCATCAAAAAAATGATGTGCCGGTTGGTGGAATTGTATTGTTCTTTTTGACTAATAGGCGAGCTTTTAACCAAATTTAAGCTAATTCATATCTGGATAAGTTAAGTGTTGTCTCGTCGACTCTTATTTACCTTTACAGACGATTTTAAATCAAGGTTTCTACAACCTTGCTGACAACGTGCCTAACCCTTGTCTTATTTCCTTCTCAAATGATCTTTTCATCTAATTTGGATTATCTTCTTCTTAAACTCTTTTCGCCTCTGGTCTTTCTGTCTCCTCTTTATATTATGTAAGGAAAAGTTTTCTTTATATATTAAGGTAATAAATATTAGCAATTTTAAATGCTATCAACAAAATAGAATAAATCTTAGTTATCTTTAAGGTACTTTAGCAATGTTGGCACTTTTAGCTGTCTTGTAAACTCTTTTGCTAACCTTAAGGTTGACCTTACATTAAGTTATCTCCTAGTTTTGTTTTGTTACATCCTGTTTATGTTTCTTACATTTGCAGATCACTTCAGTGATTGATGTTTTTTTTTGTTCTTTGCTCTAACTGGGCAGGGGTTTTTTCCCCAGTTTGCTAAATGTTTTTTTTTCTTTTCTTTTTTTGATCTGATTGTATAGTCTCTTTTCAGGTTCGCAGCGATGCTGCTGTTACTTCGGTTTCCTTACCTGCTCACAATTGTCATCTTGCTGTTTGCCATCGGGCCCCTCACCACTGCTACTTTTCTCAGAAGCTATGGTTTAAGGAAAGAAAGGACGGAGGCGGTACTGAACCGACACCCTGCTAAAACTGAAAACAGAGTCAGCAGGTCACAACAGGGACTGGGTTAGTACCAGCTCCACAGCTATACCCACAGCAGGTGTCAGACCGAGGAATAATAACTTAAATATTTTGAAAATGGTGTTTGCTGAAAATTCACAGCTGGAGAAAATCATTGATTTTATCTCACTAGAACCCTGGAGCTAAAATCACTCATTTTCTCGAGAGACTTTGGTGTGCAGACACACTAAAAACCTGAAACATGCCTTAATCATTAAGAAATTACTTGTTGATTATTTATCAGTAAAGTAAACAGTAAAGAGCTATGAATGTCTGCTGCCGTCACACAGATGTATAGGAAGATAAAGATGTCTGAATGGAGAGCACGTCTGGAGCCAATAACCTGGAGCCGGTCAGTCAGATATGAACTTGACATGATCTTAACTTGATCTTCATCAGTTTCTCAGACACAGGCAGCACTTGCTACACGAAGAAGCCAATGTTTTGGCACATATTCGTAGTTTTTCTCACACAATAAAACCGTTGTGGAGGTGCTGACTCTCAGAGTAGCAGCAGCCTGAGGTTTCGATGGTCACACCATCGTCTTTACACATCACATGTCTGGTCCTGCAGTCATCTGTTTGTTGAGATGTTTCTCTGAGTGGACTTCACTCTACAACAGCCGGTGTTTGTGCTGGGATTCTGATGGCAAGTGTTTTGATTGAGCTTGCAGAACTGTGACCCATTTGTCAGAGTCATGCCTGCTTCACCTCAGCTCTTCAACATCACTGTCTTTCACCTCTGCTCAATCCTCAGATATGTAGCACTGTGTTACGTTGACCTCACTGCAAATTGGAAGAGGTTGCATTTATTCCCTTAATACATACTGATATTTTTAAGGATGAATTTTTCATAGTGATGCACTGATGATTTTAAGGTTTCAGACAGACTTCATGGCAAACAGGAAGTGCACAATGTCGAGTCACTGTGACTCACTGTTAGATTTAAAATCAGTGACAAATAAAGATTATTTTAGTAACTGATTAATGAAAACAATCACTTAAATCTTTCTACTTCCTTGCACTTTAGTGTGAGCTTTGCGCACAGCTGTTTTTCTTGAAAGTTTGCTTTGATCTATGTTAAAAATAACATAATGCAACATTTTTTTTGCATCTACCTGTGTCACATGACCTTTCTGGTCTTTCAGAGATGAACCCCAGAGATCCTCGCTACAGGGACAAGTTAATCAGACACCTGACAGGTGAGAACAACTTTGACGCTGCAGCTTGTCAAATTAACAGTTTTTTAAATTTCAAATCTAAACTAATGCAGTGTCTACAAAAAAGTCAGATACACGAAGGTTTCAAGTTTTACAAACAGTTAAGAGTGAGTGTTCTCATTTGTGTATTCACAAACAGTTACTAATACCTTATATAGTTACTAATAGAAAATGGGTGAAGTGCAGTGTGTAGCTATCACCAAACCACAGAGCAGGAAAATACTTAGTGCCCGTTTTATTTTCTTCTCATTAAGAGAAGATTATTTCAATCAAAAAAGGAAACAAACTGTTTTGTTATTAAACTGTCTTCACATTAACCAATATATTAATACAATTAAGAATCACTCACTCAAACAAACTTATCTTTGTAGAGAAAATCATTAGCACCCAGAGACACAGCAGAGCTTTAAGTTCAGATATCTTATGACTTCATTGTTTGAAATCCTTTGCTCAGATTAACTGCAGTAAAACAAACTGACCACAGTTGGTGCAGCAGCAGCTTTGCTATACAGACTAACATGCAATCTTCACATTTTACATCAAGTGTATCCTACTGTTTTAAATATTGGAATTGTCCCTTAATAAAGAATAACCATGATACATTTTGACCTTTTTTTTTTCAGGTCCTCTGTATTTTAGCCCAAAGTGCAGGAAACAGTTTAACAGACTTTATCACAACACAAGAGACTGTACTGTACCTGCATGTGAGTGTGCCCATACACATAAACAAACACGCACTTACACAAACTCACATTAGTTTGTACTATCAACAGTTGCACAGTAAAGATTATTGGTAATAAGGCCAACCATGATTTTGTTTAACTAATGGGCCTGACTTTGCCTAGCTAATGCTAATTCAAGATAATTCCTAACTAAAACTAATTCCAATTGGGGCAAACATAATCTCAGTCTATTTTTTTGTTTATGTTTTAATCCCACAGACTTTAAACGATGTGCTCGACTACTGACTCAGCTGGCCAACAGTCCACGCTGCACAGAGAGATAGACGGTAAGACATGGTCATGTGACCAGTCCTTTAATCGCTAATGTGATGGATTTTGTTTCATGGATTTATTTTTCTTTATGTTCCCACACCATTAATTAGGCAAATATGACAGAAGACCATACCAGAACTAAAAGAAGAAAAAAGGTGACTTGACCAGTCTGGTGTAGGTTCCAGATTGTCCTCAGGTTTAGGTCTTCATGGAGGTCTCCTTCCACTCATGTTTGATTCAGATGCAGGTTGCTGTACTAACACAACGTTGAGGTTCAGGTTCACCCTGAAAGTTTTCTCTCTGTTCTTCACAGTCTGTGATCTGAAAGTTTTCTCTCTGTTCTTCACAGCTTCTGAATGTTGCACTGTGATCATGGGCTGTGTGGAGCCTTAAGAGGAAGTCTACAGTTAATAAACACAGCATTGGCTGTGATGTCATCACCAGCAGCTAAATAGCAACAGGTGTTTCTGTGTTTTCAGCTTTTTTTTGGCCATTTTTATCTGAAAACTTTCCTGAGAGAAAGCTGGACTTGGATTTTCCTGATCCTGAACTGAATGCTTCCTCACTGACTTTTACTTTGTTTCATAAAATTTGGTCGCTGTTTATGTTCATGACAACCATCGTCCACTGCAGGATTTTGTTTTTTGGAAGTTTTCACCAAAAGTTTAAACTGGACAAACTCTTTAAAACCCACATTGACTGTTTTAAAATAAAATAAAAAAGCACAGGAATAAAATATGTTTGTTTAATTAATATGTTATTTATTGATTTTGAAGGATTCTGCCTGACGGAGGAAAAAATCTAAACAGGAAGTAATTGTTGACTGTAACAAAGATTAAATTAGCTTTGTTTTGTGGACTGCTCACACCACCAATATAAAAGCCCATAGAGAAAATCGAGGATAATCAGCTCAAAGGGTCATTTGTGTGCAGTGAGCTAAACGATTTTCTTTTTGAACTTGAATAAGAGAAAACGTTCTAAAATCATTATTTGGAGGCAGTCTCAGTCCAAGTTTGGTTCATTAGTTACTGATGTTTGAGTTTTAATCCCTCTGCAGCAACAGCAGCGATTGTTGAAGTTTCTGACAGGATGAACCACATTTCTGTTTTGTTGATTTTGGCTGCAGTCAGAGTTTCGTGTTAAAAGTGAATGTTTCCTTTTCAAACATTGAACTGGAGTCTAGTTTTAAGATCTGGATCACACACACAAACACACATTGAACCAGTCTGAACACATCGATGAACAGTTTAAAGAAAAACATCTTTGTTTATTTTTTGTCAAAACTAAGACAATCTATCCAGAGTGTAACATTGTAGCTACACATAATGGATTAAAAGGTAGTAGTTGGCTTGGAAAACAGCTAAAAGGCTAGTGGTCAAACGACACTAATATAAAATAGACAAAAGAAAAGCAAAAAGATTAACAAACATTGGTCAAAATTGCTGAATATTCTTTAAGTTTTATTTAGTGAAAATAGTTTGAATTGAATATAAAAAAGACAATTCATTTAGAAAATTCTAAAATTTTATATGATTCTTAAAAACTTAAAACAATTTTTTTATCCTGGAGTAAGTGCGGGGGGACAAGCTTTACATTCATCTAAAGTTCATGGTTTAAATAAAGAACAATAGATGATAAAACCTGATAAAACCTTAACCCAGGGGCACCTTGTTGATCCTCAGTTGCAGCAGCTGCATCACAGAACAGAACAGAGCCCAGGCAGCTGATTTTAGTCTGGTCTGGAATTAAGTCTGTTCTCTATCACATGATTACAGAAAATGTCGTCCTAAATTCCTGTTTCCACATGACAATATTACCTTTAACTTCTCATTTTAAACTGTGTTAAAAATCTGAAAGCTATTTTTGTTCTTATCTTTTTCCTTATCAAACTCACTGTTGTTCTTGGATTGTTGATGTTTTTCATTTTGCTGATAAATAGTTCAAAATAATTCAAAATGAAGCAATGAGGGTTTTTTTTAAATAAGGCAAACACTAAAAATAAAAATAAAGTAGAAATCAGTGAGGTGATGTGGAGTCATGACTCACACCTATGGCTGTTAGTGACTAATATGTGATGACTGACACACAAAACATGAATTGGTTCATTCCAGGAGGAGGTGTGATTAAGACATTGGCTCAAATTATAATCCAGATGTTTGCAGTTTATGACAATTGTTTGCTACTGTGAATTGTTGGGGGGGTGGGGGGGGGCAACTCCAGGTGCGTTATCCTAAATTATATTTTGTTTTGTACTTGGCTAACCTTTTACATTTGATGCTGACTGTCAAATATTTTGGGACTTTTTTCCCTAAATGTTGCTATATTTTGGTAGTTTTAGGATTTTTATTTCCCTTTATTCTTTTAGTTTAATTTATTTTTCTAGCTAACATTATCTTACAACTTAGGGTTTGTAACAATTTTAGACAATTGTATAACCTATTATTGGCTTTTTTTTCACCTATTTTTAAATAGAAAAAGTTATAAAAACCTGGTGGTAGACCTTAGATAGAAATGATTAAAAAATGGAAAGAACGTGAATGTGAATTTTAACTTAGCTGAGATATTGAGGGAAGATTGAGATCAAGATATCAATAAAAATTCACATAAAAGAATAACATGGAGGTGACTAAAGAACCTTCCCTTCACCCAATAGACTAGAGTAGTCTGTCATGTTCTGGATTAATCTGCAAATTAAAGATCAACTTCCTGAGAAAAAACTCTGTTACCATGGAACTTTTAACAGATGTGACAGGTTCCTTGTTTCGCTCTAGTAAAAAAAAAAACTGTGGAGAAAGCACATTAGTAAGATTGATGTGTGCATAAAATCTGATGTTTGTCCAGAGCTTAAAAGAAACAGGAGATTAGAGTCGTAGAGAGATGGTGGGACTTCTAAAGATCAACCATATGGTGTAACCAACATAAACATAGACAAAATGTTTAAATGTTTAAATATCAATAACAAAACTAGCCAATATAAAACATTAAATCCATTAAAGTTGTTGTTGTTACTTTTGTTGTTTTGTTTTTACATCGTAGATCTCAACTTGTTAACCTTGCAACAATGTTTCTGGAGTGATTAAAAATGTTGTAACTTGCCTCCACTTTTCCACCCTGCATCTCACTGTAGTTATCATTATTACTGTTATTGCATAAATAGCATCAGCTAAATGTGTTTTCACAGGTTGGGTTTAAAGAGCTTGGTAAAAGAAGAAAACAGTGAGATTGTTTTTGGTTTCCTGGACTTGCCTTGACTCAGTTTTCTGTTACTGCCCTGCTGAGGGATTTACAAGAACAGGCTGAAGCTAACAGTGGTGCTAACTGTGAGAATGAAATAATCCGTCTGTTATGAACTGCATTCAAACATGGTGAACAAGAGTTCAACCTCTTTGTATCAAAGAAGAAAAGTCTATTTTTTGTATTCTGTTCTAAATGATATTAGTTAACATTAGCTAAATAGCACTGACCTTTACCAATAACAAATGCAAAAATAAATAGGTAAGCTAAAATTCTAAAATCTAAAAGAATTACACAGATTGTATAAATAATATATTTTAGGAGAAAATTGTGGCAAGCAGGAAATGTCTTGCTGAATATTATGTTTGTCGAAACAATGCATTGATTTTAACAAATACGGTAGACTAAATCATTAGAAAATTTATGAATCGTGTCTGTGCCTGTCAAACACAACTGAGGGCATAGATTATTTTGAACCTGTAAGTCAGGTGAGACCAAACCTGACGTCATTGACGTCGGAGCTGAGGAAGCAGGTACACCTGTTAACGATACAGGAGCAGGTAGAGAAAGAAAAAAAAGCAAAAAAGAGCGAAAGTAAGTAACGTTTAGTGATTGCAGTCAGTGTTAAATTGAAATATTTTTCTGTAAGGTGTCTTTATTCACTTGTTCACGTGACCAACATGTTTGGTCTAATTTAGCTAGCTTGACTTAGCTCCCAAACTCTTCACCGCCATTTTCTCCACTTTTGTGTCTGGTTTATTAAATTGTAGTTCCTGAACAAGAAAGAGCGTAGAACCTTCTTTTTACCATGTGTTTTCTTGTGTACAGTTAGAGACAAAACACGACGACGGAAAAAAAAAGCTAGAAATTAGTTTGTATCAGAGCATTTTGTGCATTTGTTGTCCTGTTTTTTCCGGTTCTACAACATTCTCATTGATTTGAATTATAATGTTACATACTTAAAGAGAATATACCGCACCAAGGAAGCGAGAAATGGTTAAACTTGACTTTCTAGTTCTGTAATACTTCTAAAATGCTAAAAATCATCAAAGTTCCAGAACCTTCTTCCATCTTTACCTTCTTCTACTACTTTTGCAGGGAATATGTCTAATATTAATATAACTGCAGTTTGTTTTTGTTTGGATTGCAGTAAAACGTGTTGCATTTCTGGTTTATACCAACAATATTTATAATAATATTACCACTGCAAATAACGACAATGATAATCACAGACATTGTCATGGTTGCACGAGAGTTCATCCGTTATGGAGAAATTGTAATCAAGCTTATTTTAGTCAATATTTAAATCCCAATTAATTAACCTTATCACTCGTTGGAAAAAAACTAGCTTTTTAATAAACTATATGTAATGAACACCAGTCCCCAATTCAATCCAGAAAATGGAAGCCTGGCAAGTCGCAGCCATACACAGCAAATACTTGTAGGACTGGTTTTCACTGTAGAATGCATAGTTTATTCATGACTGTGATTCAGAGGATGTCGAAGTGGTTTGCCTACTTTACCTTTTCGTTTTGGTCGGGTGTCACTCTGTGTTTATGCAGTTTGACAGATTCTTTGATCCAGGTCTTTATCTTCAAATCCCACACCAGTTATCTTACATTATGTTTCTGGCTGACTCTCATTCTCTCATTATGCCAGTATCTCTTACTTCCCTGTCTTCTCAGTCTCTGCTTATGCTGTTTTTTAAAACACCTTTGGCTTCAAAGCTATTGTTGGCTTTCAGATCATTGCTTTATAGTTTTATTAACTAAGTATATTTTTAGTTAAAATATATGACTGAATTAAAAAATGTGTTGTGAAATAAGCATTGGAATGAATAATTTGATTTATGGACCAAAACAATAACAGCACACAACCCTTTTGCAGTGAGCAATCCTATCCCGTCAAATTTGAGGTCAGATACCAAGAAGGCTGCTAAGATCTTGAGGGACTTTACTCAGATCTCTGCTAGAAATGGACCAGACAAACTCATCCCCCGTAAGTAAAATATTTATGTTGTAAAACTCTCACACTTGCACTAACCAAAAAAACATAGAGAATATTAATCAATTACATAAATCCTTCTTAACTCCATATACAAAATTCCTTGAGGAAAAATACTAATTTTCATCATGACAAGTAGGAGGTTTTGCATCCCTTGCTGCCTCCATCACAAAGGTCATATGTGTTGTTTTGTGACTTTACCATTTTGAAACCTTTTAGATTAACTTCAGGGACACAGATTGACCACTGGAGGGAGTGGAAGATTGAACAACCTGTGTCCACTGGAGCTAAAATGACTAGTCAATAGACTTTGTGGTCTACGCAAACTTTTTTTTGAAATGTCTGTATGAGAGTAGGTCAAAGTCTAGATCAGCGATTTTATTTCTAGTCTTTTTGATCAAAGTCTCTTTAATAATTTTCATGCAAAATAAATATAGAGAATTGTTATAATTACGGTTCCAGTCTTTGATCCAGAAAAATTTTTTTTTGTTTAAAAATTTAGGGAATTTCTTGTATTTTAAACATTTTCCCACTTATTTTGTTCTCTGGCATTGTGTGATTTGTGTGTTTCTGCAGCTCATGTGATTGCCAAAGCTGAAGGTCTGGCCATCATCTCAGTCATCAAGGCAGGTTTCATGGTGACAGCTAGAGGTGGCAGCGGCATCGTCATCGCCAGACTGGCTGACAGACGTAGGATGTCCTCTTTACAGCATCAACACACATTCACACACTATTTTTGGATTTAATACCACACTATCATTCATTCCCTAATGTTTTAGGAGATTACCTGATGGGTGTGGTTTACAGAATCCCCCCTAACGGCGTAGTCAGTGACAATCTGAAGAGTTACACCCGTAGGCAAACTAGCTGCAATGCTTCTTTTGTGCACAGAGGTGCAGTGATTGTGTTCTGTTTTTCTGCTTCCCTCAGTCTATGCTGCTGAAAATGTAGTACTTTGCATAAAACACCATAGGAGCGATAAAATGTCTCGTCATACTGCAATATACTTCAGATTGTTTATGCTTTTTTTATTTGTGTTCTTGTTTAATATTTTTATATATCAGGGCAACGTATAAACAAATCCATACATGTCTCTATTGCTGTGGTCAGAGAAATTACTACATTGTGCCATATTTGCGGTTTCTGCTTATTTTTCTCATATGATATTAACCTTACCCCTTCATTTATGCTGAAATCATAACTAGAACTTATATTAACATGCATTACATATTTCACAAAAATGTTTTTAACTCACTCTACCTTCAGAAAACTTGAAGAAAAAAAGAATTAAAAACATGTTTAATTTCAGAGTGTTTGTTGATTTTTCTGGTTACAGGTTGGTCGGCTCCTTCTGCCATCGGCATTGCTGGTTTGGGAGGAGGCTTTGAAATTGGAGTGGAGGTAAATTTATGGTCATGCAAGGTTTTCTTCTAACAGTGGCGACGAAAGGACTTTGTTGCTGCATATAAGGCCCGAGGGCAAAAGAAGAATTAGTCACGAGTTGCTCTGAGGTGCACCACTATTACTCAATGTAGAAAAAGATCAGAGTTCTGACCTGCAGATGTACAACCTATCACTAGGATGAAGCATTGTTCACATTTCAAACCAATTTCTGTAGGTTTTCATATTAAAGGATCTGATAGATTGTCTTTAACAGAATATCCTTCGGATTGTCCTTGAATGCCCCAGATGGAGTTTCGATTTTATCTATTTAATATTCAAAAAGGTAATAGAGTGTACAATTAACATGGCATTTGTGGTCTCAGGTGTCAGACCTTGTGATCATCCTGAACCAGCGAAGAGCCATTGATGCTTTCTCTATGGGTGGAAACCTGACATTGGGAGGCAACTGTACAGTGGCTGTTGGACCAATGGGCAGGTGAGTGCCTGTGAGTCTGTCTGACCAGTTGTAGGTCGGTTTATTTTGGCAGTCAGTTAGCCTGTGAGTCTGTCTGATTTCCAATAACACTTGATCTGTAATCAGCTCTGTGTAAACATTTTACCTCAGGCTCAAAATAAGTGAGGCCCAAATCACACATACAGAAGGAACAGCAGTGTCAAACATGTCACCATTTTTTAAGTAAATAATCACAAGCATTACTGTGATTTTGGGCAATTCTTCAATGAAACATTTTTTTTAAGTCTTGGAAAGTTTTGTGTTCCTCTGATCTTCAGTACTTTAATTAGGTTTTCATTTGAAATCAAGTTCAAGTAAGTTCACAATATTACACATAATTATTTATGGACATATATAGTTTATTGTCACATGTGGATTGAATTTGTTGTTGTTGCAGTTGTTACCAACATATAGTAAAAATTTTATGTAAGCCATTTTGTCAAGAACCACTTTTGACATTTAGGCAATCGCTGCATATTCCCTAAGTATTTTGGGCAAGAAAATACATCAGAATGCCACTAGCAAAAGACCCAGACCCTTAAGGTGACAACAATATAAAACAAATATAAGGGAACTTGTCTTTGTCATTTTCAGGAATGTGGAGGCCGACGTGGCACTGCGTAACACTGCAGCTGTCTTCACCTACTGCCGGTCCAGAGGTTTGTTTGCTGGTATTTCTTTGGAGGGCTCCTACCTCATTGAACGCAAGGAAACCAACCGCAAGTATGTATCACATCATACTTGCGGTAAGATCTAACCGTCTTCAAGTTCATTACCCTGCTCCTAAATCTAAAAAAAATATTTCTCGCTCTACCAGGTTCTATGCAAGGGATATTCGAGCTTCCGCTATTTTGAATGGGGATGTAGAGCCACCAGTAGAGTGCGCTGACCTTTACCACATCTTGGATGCCTACGCCGCGGCCTACACCTCAGAGTGGACTAGCAAGAACATGCGTCCAAAGGTAAGATCTGAGGAAGAAACTCTATATTACAGATGGTGTGAATGAAAAACTCAGAACTTTGATATGATGTGTTTAAAAAGTTACTGTAAAGGGCTATAAGACCTGTTGGTGTCACAACCAACAAGGGCAGGTTAAAACCAAGTCAGGACTAGGACTATAAAAAACAAAGACCCAGGTTAACAGAGTCATATATATGTCTAGGATGCACATGGAGACCAGGACACAAACACCAAAGCAAGGACCAAGGTTTTTGTTGAGTTTTTTGGTTTGTTTGTTTATTTGTTTTTTCCTACAGTCGTCTTTTCCTCCAGCAAGACCTGCAGCTCCAGCTGTGCAAAAACCATCAAGCATCTACCAGGAACCTCAAAGTTTCAACATCGACAGCTACCAGCAACCACCAAACAGCTACCAGCAACCACCAAACAGCTACCAGCAACCACCAAACAGCTACCAGCAACCACTGAGCAGCACTGGTAAAGTCTCAAGTCTCCCAAAGGCTTCACAACAGTTTTTCAGCTCATAACTTCTTCATAAAAATGTCAAAAAGAACATACATTTTTTTTAGATCACTGGTCCACTGCCATCTCTTACAGTCAGTTTGTGTCGCTGATGAAAATCTTCTCGTGTCTATTGGTATTAAGAACTAGAAATAGTACCAATAGGTTTGTTTGAATGAACTCTTAAATGTAAAGTATCTATTAGCATTTGGCATTTAATTCTGATAACAACAACAATTGTTATTGAAAATTTCACTGCAGAAATATAAACAAAACACACCATACAGTTATCACCTTTTGCACATTAACAATTGATTACTAACCAAAGGAGTGTGAGATGAACCAGAGAAGGAGCCTCTGAGTTAGTCTGGATAAATCTGTCTCTGTGTCAGAAAGCTATGGAAGATGATATGTCTGTTAAACCTGGCACCAAAGAGGGACACAGCAGTGCAGCAAACATTTCTGGCTGTATTCGAAAGTGCTCCATCCACATTGATTCTCTCTTAGTGACATAGTAACAACTTCAGCTGAAGGCACCCCATCTCGTCCTTGTGCTCTAAATGTAAATATATGGGATTTGATATTATAAATTAAAGTCTGTTGATGAGAAGTGCTAACCTGGACAAAGAACAGGACCTGAATGAGTTTAACCTGAATGTTGTGTTTAAAGCTCTATCCAGAGTGCCATCTGTGCACAACTAGACTAAGACTGAAGTCAGAAGAAAGAACAGAAAAAAACAGAAGGTTGAGACTAACCGATGACATATCAGGACAGGCAGGGTGAGACCTGGTTAAAGGGCCCTAGTAAGACGGTAAGACCAGACCATAATGCAGACTTAATTGTGTTGTGTCCAGGTGCTGCCCCAGGAACACGGAGTAAGAATGCCCTCTATCCCAGCATCTCTGTGTATAAATCTGAAACTTCAGGTCAGTATCAACCAACAACAACACTTCTCTAGTCTTCTGTGCCTGTTTCTAGTCACACTAGTTTATCACTGTCTTCTACTGCTGTGACTTTATTGAAATTTTAGTTTGCAATTTTTGGCTTCAATCAATTACACAGATAAAATAATTGAATACAAATGCATTTTACCATAACTTTAGCATGAAAATGTCAATGCATCTGTGACAGGTAGAACTATAACAGTTCTGCTAGCAGATGGTAACATAAACTAAGAAAAAGAAGCTCATTTGTTGAATATCCTTGTGTGGGTCTTTCTTCAATTCCTGAAAGTGAACCAGCCAAGATCTAGTACTGAGCACTATATATAAATTGTAAGTCAAATAAAACTAAACAACCATTATATTTCGTTTATAATGTATATTATAAACCTTTTGAACATAATTGTTTGGTGGTGCACTGTAGGATTTAATGTAAAACGAGTCATGTGGTTTAAAAAAATGATATTTTATTCATGTTCAAAATGAATAGAATTTTATTTTAAAAAAAAAAGCAATTTCCCAGCCTGGGATCAGTAAAGTACATCTTTGTTAAATGTATTATATTTTTAATTTAGTAATTGTTTCCAAGAGATTCTGTTAGTACACTACATTCCTAATGATATTTAAATATTATACTGAAATTAATGGGAAGCTATCAAGGAAAGGAAAATGTCACATTTGCTGTTTTTAATGTGCAATAAATGCAGTTTGTTTCCATAGTTGATAAGTATTAGATTTAAACTGTCAAGCAGCCCTACTATCTACTGACTATCTAACCTCTTATTCTGTTTCTATTTCTGTCCTACTAATTCAGTTTCTGACCCCTTTCTCCACTTATTTCCTCGACCATTTTCTATCTTCCATCCTTGGTGTAGCAAATTCTTTATCTAATTTCCTTCCCTTAGCTGTTCGTCTTCTGTAGCCCTTTTCTCGTCAATTTTCTTTCTCTACTTTTTTCACTTTCCATGTTTGTCCCATCTTTCCTTATAGATATACGGTCCATGTAGTTTTTTTTAGCGAAGCAGTAGCTCCCTCCTGTGGTTATATGCCTGACCTGTGTAAATAAAAATGAATTTCTTTCACTTGGTGAAGTGTTCAAGGTCTAATTTGCCTTGTGTTTCGCCTTAGCAAAGTTTGCTCAAAATATAGACCGTTGTGAAATAATTAAAAATGATTATAATATGTGATTAAATATTTAAATGTCCTTTTATTTTAGGAGCCAGAGCAGCAGCGCCACCCTCAGCATCAACGAGTGCTGACCAGCCTGTGGTCACAGCAGTACATGCATTTGTAGGTCAGCAGCCAGGAGATCTCAGCTTCTCAGTTGGAGACCGGATCACTGTCACTACAAAAAGTGATTCCCAGTATGACTGGTGGGAGGGGCGAACAGAAGACGGTCGCAGTGGAATCTTCCCTGCCAACTTTGTCACCTACTGAGTGTCCTTCTGCTGCAGAGTGGAGGCATGACAGCTGTGGTCAACAATCAAGAACAGGAGTCATTTTCCAGAAAGGTTCCTAAAGTGATCAGAGACTTGGGTTCCTTGCTTTACTTCACTTACTGCCTTACCTTATTCTTGCACTTTATTTCACACTGTTGGGGAATTAGTTAGTCACCTTTTTAATTGGTATAAACTGAAGTCTGTTCTCTTTAAATAGAAATTGTTCAAATTTTCTGAAACGTTGCCTCAGATTGGGAGAACAGAATAAATTCTAAAAGCCAAATGCTGTTTTTGTAACACGAAAGAGAAAAATACTTATAATTAGGCCAAAAGTCCTAACTATAACCTCGATACTGGTTAGAAACATGGTATAAGCAGCTACAGGGAAATAAAGACAAATCAAAATGGGAATATGTTGTTAAGCATGTAAAACTTTATTATTGAGCGGTTATCGAATCTAAACCAGAAATGTAGATAGAAAATATATTTATTTTGATCCAATATCAATGTCCTAAATTGCAAAGGCAAATAATAGGGATTTCTTTTAGTACTTAGAAATAAAAAACTGATGTAGAGGGTTAAGTAGTAAGATGCCAAAGGAAGCTTCAAATTAAGTGTTTTAATGGTGAATTTAAAAAATGAATGGAATAAATAAATCAGTGTCATGTTGCAAAATTGTTTCTACTGGAGGATTTGGAATTTTAAAAGGCCAAATGTTTAAAATCTATTTTTGGTCAAAATACTTTTTAATGGCTCTTTAGCCCAAGCCAATACCTTGTTACTGCCATACTATGGGTGAATATGAATGTTTATATTGAAAGCTGATCTTTTTTTATATTATTTAATGATTAAAATAAAACGTCATGTTGGTTGAGTGTTCAGTGTTAACCACTGTGGGAAATCTGCACGCTATTATTATATTATATACGCTATTTGTCTCTGTCTTATCACAGGTTTGGAACAAGTGTTTATTTTTTTAATAACCTTTCTTTTCAGTATTTGATGTTTGTGTGAGATTTGTTACAGTCTGCACTTTTCCTATTATGACATTGACTATTTATGATTTGTCTACCAACTTTTTTAATAGAAGGATGAGGTTCACTTGTGATAGAGGTGTTTTATTATTTTTTTTAATATATCCAAGGTTGTCTAAAGGCTATAAATAAATGTTAAATAACAGACTTCCTAATTTATTAATGTCCATTTTATTCCAGGTTTTTCTTGAAAGAATAAGAAGTTTTAGTTGAACATACAATTAATCCATTTCTTCTGGAATTTTTTTTTTCCTTTTTAAATTGCGAATAAAATAAGGTAAAAGGACAGGTCAGAAAATCAACCAATTGATACAAACCCATGAAAAAGTACAATAATAAATATACCAAATATTAATGTCAAGACTTTAATTAACGTGTGCAAGAAGTATACAAAGGCCTTTTGAAAAAAAGGATTTACATTAAAAAAAAGATTGCATCTTCTGGATGAGGTAGTCATAGTCTGTCAGCTGAATGTTTTTTTTCTCCATAAGCTGCTATGATGTACTGAAGCTGTTTTTATAACTCTTAAGGCATCAAAAAAATATTTCACTTTAATTTTGAAGAAGTAGGTAACATGTCCTCTTGGTGGAAAATATGCATAAACTGCACTTTTGTTTTTACTGTTGTAAGGGACATTTAATGAACATGAACCTGATCATAGAAATAGGTGAAAACTATGTTGCAATGCAGGGATGAGTGAAATTGTGCAGAAAAAAGTATATAAAAAAACCTTTTTTTTGCTGTATGTCATTACAGAGGTGCGTGACGACGTCTGCAGCCATCATGCCATAATCTCACTACGACCAGTGAAACCCTGACACACATCAGATCTGTCCATGTATCCAGGGCTGCCTCCTCTCACCTTCAGACACCTTCAGATGTATTGCTTGAGAGACAGGTGCCCCTTAAATGGAATGATGTATTCATCAACCATTTGAAACTCTCCAGGATCACTGGAAGGTTTTCTTAGGTGGATCCAACACAGGTTTGATTTTAGCTTCTCAGCATTATCATAATTATCAACAAAATTAATGTATCTGATAATCTGCTGAAATCTGTTTAGTGGCATGGCATCTGCCATCGAACTGAGACAAAGCCCTTGATCTGATGAGCAGTACAGTCTTAATCTTGTGTATCTGTCATATGACATGACCAAATCAATCTCCATTAACTTCTTTATTTCATTGTTTTTCAGGGCCAGATGTCCGTTCCTTTTTGCAGAGCATCAGGTTTTGTATGGTGCACCATTACATTTATCAGGTCTTTAGAAAAATAGATGCAGGAAGAAATCTAACAGTTCTTGTTGCCAAGATTTCCACTCTCCTAAAGATGTGGCGGTTCTCCCTGAACCTTATTATCATCTGTGTTTTCCATAAATGTTTTGTCTGGTATCTATTTATTCTCACTCACTATTTGTTCTTCTATTCATATGAATTCAAGTTAAAATACATCCAGTGATGATGGCTGTTTTAGTAGACATGAGTAATTCCATTTTTCTCTCATTATAAAATATTTTCTTGGACAACAGGAGTCTGTGTCCTGTCTGTTCATTAGATATGGAAAAGTCAGCATTAAAAATATACCAAAATGGAAAATTTTGTCAAAACACTGAGCTAAAGTTGACAAAAATCTAGCCATAAATGTGTTTTTTTTTCCCTTAAGCCAACCATTTATGGATTACCTGACTGTACCACCAGGGGTCACTGAATCCCACATACTGTTCCTTAGAAAGTTATTTTTTTTATTCTTTTTTTATCAGCTTGATGAAAAATACTGTACCTCTAGTCTATAAAAAACACAATATTACATTAAACTATTTTTTTCTAATCTTAAAAATCAATTTAAATTTTTTATCATACAGGTTTGTTTCGGTTTCTGTCCTCCAGAGGATTTCTTCATTCCAGTCTGCCTCTCACAGTCTTCCAGTGATTCTGGAAGTGAAACCTCACTGGTCTCCGGCAGCAGCTGAACCAGGCCACAACCTATGATCGGTCCACCGCTGTACACTAGCATGGCAGCCAATGAAACGGCTCCGTCTGAGTTGAGTGGGAACAAAGTGTTGACCAGGCAGGACAGTCGGAAGGACAGGTTGACTAGAGAGAGGCAACGCTGTCTGGAAAACCATTTTCAAGATTAGGGTCTCAGCTAGGACGTTGTGACATATTTGTGGGCTTCTCATTGGAATGTAATATGAATTCCATTGGCTATCCATGTCACAGTTTTGAAATATTTGTAAAGTCATTTTTGAGAACATTGGGGAGAAGCTGTTGGTGATGTGGTTGAGGTACTGTACCTGACGGTGGTGGGAAAGAGCTCGATGCTGTAGAGCGTGGTGATTAAGATGACTACTAGGATGCAGAGTTTACCCAGCAGAGCCAAACTTATCACCAGCACTGGATCACCTGTACCAGCAGCCAGTCAGAACCAGAAAGTACCAGTGGGCACCAAACACTCTTTGGTAACATGATCACTTACTGTCGCATCTGGAAAGCAGTAAGGACAAGAAGCAGGCAGAGCCACTCAGGAACAGAGCCAGGGAGCTGAATGATCGTCGGCCCAAACGCAGCAGAGGCACCAGCAGACACGGAACTTCTGATAGGCCGGAGAAGAACTGGGCGTAGTACACGCCCACACCAAACGAGCCAATGTTCATACAGATGCCAAAGTAGGTAAAAGCTGATGCTGCACTGTGGCACATTTGAGAGGGGACGTTATGGAAGAGAAGACTCGGGTCACGTGACATAAAGAATTACATCAACATCTGTGTGTGTTTACCTCAGGAAGCTCATTATCAGCAGTCGCTTCAGCATAGTTGGATGTCGAAGCTGATTGATGTCACTGAGGGCAGGGTTTCTGGGAGCCTCCTCGGAATGAGAATCCTGCAGGGTGGAACTTGACAACAACTACACACACATTATTATGGGAAAGTTGGAGAAAAGTAATTGAAAAGAATTTGAAAAAAAGTCAAAGATATATAACATTGACCTAGGTGTAAAACAAAATGGTAGGCAAACACTGAAACACAAGGGAAAATTAAAATTTACATCTTGTTGGGTCTTTATTCAATATTTTGTAGAAAAAACATTGTAAATTTGGGGCTATTGAGTTATGTGTCACTATAAAGAAGTTCTAAAAGAAAAAAGGTCAAGGCGAGTTTGTTGGTTTGTTTATGTCTGTATTCTGTTACCTGGTCGAGACAATGTTTGTCTTTAAGACTGTTCGATCGGTAACGTTCCAGATCGTCCACTCTTTTCTTCAGTTTCAGCCAGTGGGGAGACTCAGGGGTGGAGCTGTTGGAGAATTAAAATAAGACCAAACTCAACTCCACCACTAAAGTGTGCATGTACATGGAAGAGTGTCCACATACAGGTTCTACATACAGGAAGAGTGGCAGACAGAGGATCTGTGGTAGAGCCAGTGACAGGTGGAAGAATCTCCATGTGGAACTGAGCCACGCCAGTGAGGCTACGGCCATCATTCCCACACTGAAGAAGAATGGCAGTAATGCCATAGGCCAGGGGCGGAAAGAAGGCAGAGTCCACTCCACTGCTGCAGAACAGAAGAAACTAACAGGTCATTGAGGTCAGCACCAGGGGGTGGTTGAATTTTGTAAGAAAGCTTGTGAGTGTAATGTGTGATGTCATCACCCAGACTGAATCCAGAGATGTTGATGCAGCAGCAGCAGACTCCTGTCAGACAGCGGACACACAGGAAGATGATTGGCTGAGCAAGGAAGGCGGGGACTAGTGCGCACAAGGCATGCACGTATAAACACGCCAGCAGCAGAGGACATCTGCCAAAACTGTGCACGTGAATGAGTCCAGGTTAGTGTGTCTACAAATACATTAATCTTAAAAAACACAACATAAGATACAAAAGTGTGTGTGAGAGAGTGAGACGTACTAGTCAGATAAAGCTCCGCCCACCAGAGATCCGATCAGCCCACCAAACATAAAGATCAGGAGACCATATGACAGGAGGTCTGAGCACATACATGCTGACTGACAGACACACACAAATCCAAATCACTCAATGTTTAGACTAGATTACTGATCAGATTACATGGATGAGTAGTTGATGGGGTCAACATTTTTCTCTCTTCTCTGTTCTTCTCTTCAGTCTTTTTATAAACTAATCTCACTCTAATCTTAGTCATTTCATGCATTGTTAATAAACGCACACACACAGTATATACAAAAACAAACATTAGCCAAGTTAAAAAGAAAAATCAACAGTAAATCAATTAATTGACCAACTGAGATATTGTTCCAAGTTGAACCTGAGGACAGTTTGAATCTGCCAACCATATATTTACCAACCAATTAATCAACAGCAACACTGTTGATATTTAACATTTAATACATGACCTGTCCTTTGTTTTCAACACAAAAAGAAAAGCACACTGCTGCACCTAGCTGTCCGTGTCAAACTACTGTTTTGTTTACATCCATCAACTTGGCTAACTAACCTTATATTTATCCAAAAACCATGAGCTGGTTTTACTATTTAAGACAAACTGCTTTTCTACTTATTTCAATTCATCTTAAAATAATCCTAATTGTTTCAGGATTTATTTTTTTAACGTGTAACTTAGCTTCTTTCTGCGACCCTTACTCTGTTCCATCAAAGTTGCCCAGTTCTAATTCTGTTAGGAAAAAACAACCGGGATGACTCAGAACCAAAGTAGACGTGTTGTCGGATAGTTTTAAGAATCGTTGGATCCAACGTTAGGTCAGAAGCTTTTGGCAATTTCGCCAATTTCGTCAAAATTGCTTTAAAATAATTTGTAATTTATAATGATAAACGAGTCCAATGTCTTTATGTGGCAAGCTACTGGCTATTATTAGCTATAAAAAAATTATAAAAACTTTGAAAAACAATCCTGGTAATAATGTTAAATCCTTCTGTTGATATAATGAAAGATTTTTTTATCTTATCTGACAGGGCGTTGGACTTTGTTTACGCAAAACCTTTTTCTGAAGCTGATAAATTTTCAGAGGCTAACAACAATGACGCGTTCCTGACTATGACTTTAAAAACTTCTAATAACGATTAAAAAAACCCTCACGTCTGCTTTGTGGTCTCCTGTCCTCCAATCATCCGCAGCCTCCGACATTTCACTGATTGCTGATTGGTTCCGTTTCTCTGCGTTCCTGTAACGTCGACATGTGGCCGCCGTAAATATGTCGAGGAAAAACAGAAAGGAGTTGAAGAAGAAGGCGAGGGAGACACGAAGGTAAACGGAGAGCTGCAGAGGAGACATATTTTTGGGACCAGCGTCTCTTTTCCTTCTCCCACTGCTAAAGCTTTTAACAGCACGTGTCTAAGAGTGTGCACGTGAACAGCTGCTGCTGTCAGAGACAACTGTGTCTGACACACAGCGACACGGTGAAAAGCTGATCAAATATGGTCAAACAGCACCACCCCATGGTCATGGATTATAATTGCAACACGGTTTTGCCATTACAATTACAGTTCGATTGACGAACGTCACATTATGCTTATGTAACGATTAAATTTGATAATAATAATAATAGTAAAACTGTAGTTAATAACATTAGCAGTAAAAATGTATGGATTTGAGCAGAATAATATTTTAAATATTAAAACCCTTGCAATGAAATGTATATATTGTATCATAATACTATGGATATTACGATAACATTGAGTAGTTTAGTATTTTAAGTACAATGTCGCATTAGGGTTATTTAACAGACATAGATATACTGAATTTCCAGGCTAGGAAATGAAAGTAACACAGTGTTTATAAATGTCATTAAATAAAATATGTCTGTGTCTGAGGGAGGAAAGTGTTACAGGATTACAGGTTAGTGAGAAAGATTAGGATTACAGATTAGCTCAACATTGGTATTCATTATTGGGAGAACCGGTTCAGATTACATAATAGAATTACACATTGATTGGATTACAGCTATGTAATAGAGGTGGGTATTGTTAAAGATTGTATGAGAAATCACAGATATCTCTGTGGGTTACATGAAATGTTTCTTATCTCTGTAAGAAAAAGAGTTCATGTAGATAACAGGAGTAACAGAAGGCCATGTTAACCTATCAGTGGGCTATGTGCTGGGGTCAGAAACACGTGTATTTATTACCTGTGAGGTGAGCTATTGTGTCATTTATGGGTCTTTGGTGAGAGTGGAAAGGCGTTGTTGTGAGTGTTGGCCTTCTAAAGAACCTGGATATGTACTGTAAATGTCTTTCCCCTGTGTGCTGCCACAGTCTCAGTGATTTGACCACAAGAAATCATTTCTAATCTTAGTCAGTCAGCCCATTCTACGGCTGCACTCGGTCTCTCTCTAGCCCACAAACGAGTGATCACTCATTCGAACACACGTATGGGTCGCAGCCCAATCAGTCATAACTACCCTTCCTGCGATTCATCTGATTTCTTTATATAATTTCTTTATATAGAAAATGTCCTGGGCACTCAAACAATGCTGTGCTGTTGAAGCACTGTATTTTCCGTGGTACAGGAGTAGCAGATACTGGTAACCGCGCCTAGAGTGCCCTCTAGTGGCTGTCAGTGTGAAAATAAGTCGCAAACCCAGCCAAAGGATGAAAAAAAGCGCGACTTATATTCTGGAAAATACGGTACAAGAAATTATTTGTAATTAAATTCAGCATATTCTCACCTTACAACCACATACTCATATGTGTAACTGATTTGGGTGGATTAAGTTTTCATTTCCCAGAAAAACCTTGAAAGACTGAGATTACCAGTCATCAACAGAGGACGGGTTGACCTCGAATCGCACTTTCCCACAATTCTTTTTTTAGATGAGAACACAACGAGACTGGTGTTTATAGTTTTATTTTTGCAAGAATGAGTGAAGTTAGAACAACAAAGTCCAGTCAGCAGAGTTTCTCAACAGGTGGTCACAGAGAGACAGTTTGTACAGACAACAGGCACTGGCCTGGAGCAGCTTCACCCTGTCAGGGCCAGACACAAGCTGTGAGGTGAAGTAAACATCTGATGTCGTAAACAAAAAAAGTTAACAAAGGTAAGAAAAGGGCAAATCTGCCTTTACTACTACGATAATACTTATTAGGATTACAGATTAGTAGATCAGGTCAGTATTTCAGTTTAGGATAATAGATTAGGGATTGCATTTTAGTATTGTGGCATCCTGGCCTTCTGTGGTGTGTTGAGCAGGCACCAAAAATTCAGGAATAAAGATTGGATTACAGGTTGGGATAACAGATAGGGATTACAGGTTTAAATTCAAGAGCAGGGTTACAAATTCAAATTAGTGAGTAGGATTACAGGATTAAATTACACAGGGGTTTTGGTTTTGGATTACCTATTAGAATATTTTAATCTTTATAAGTTAAGAGACAGATCAAAGTGTTTGCCATAAATAGTGTATAACCAGCTAAAAGTCGGCCCATCCACAAACATAAACAAAACTAGTCTTAATGTTGGCAGCAATGAAAAGTAACAAAGATAAAAAGAAAATAATAAAAATAAATTGCTTGACTACATGTTAGCCAAACAATGGTTAAAATGTAATAGCTATGTTAGCTAAATCTTAAGTAAAATAGGCTATGGATGAGGAGTTATTTACAAACTTAATCTTCATTTAACTATTAGTAGCTAAAAGTTTGCTGAGAAGTGTCTATGAGTTTTAGCTCAATCTCACTGATAAAAGAGCTAAAAGTTAGAACCAGGTTAAAAACCTCAAGCTGCATCAGAGTGATGCTGCTGCAAGATTCAAACTGTTCAGGGTTAATCCCAATCCCTCTTCTGCTTCTTTCACATCCCATCAGATGATCTTCAGTTTCTCTTCCTGTTCAACTCCATCCCCAATGTGGTGGCTGCAGTGAATGGAGACGTGGGGATCATTGCCATGTTCTGTAACCCCAGAAGGAGAGAGCGCAGAGAGAACCGCAAGGCTTTTCCGATGTTCTGAAGAGACCAATGAAAGACACTGGTAATCCTAATCCTAATCTGCATAAAATGTAACTGGTAAAGATCCAGTCTTAGTCTGATTGATCAACTACATATTCTGATTGGTCAGACTCTGACAAATATATGATTAATATAATATATCAATTTGAAACAACAGAAACAAAAACTAATGTGCCTGTCAGCACATACTCAGAGAGATTTTACTTTGTCACATTTATCTATTTGGTATATTTGCAGAACAGACAGACAAGTCATGGGATAAACTCAATATTTATTGAAAAATGTTCATGTTTCTCCTTTTCTCCAGATGTAGAATTGTTTCATATGGAAACAAACTTTAGTTTTGTGTAAACATTAATTCTGGAACAACCAAAGCTTAATATTATAAACCCATGGGGAAATAAAATTTGAAATAAAACATCAGTGGTATTTGTTTCGTATTATGTCTCTTTATCTGTAGCCTTTCCAGTTCTTTTTTAATGCATACACCGCTAATACTACAAATCGTGCCAGTACACAGGGGCTATATACTGGAGGGCCAACTCTAGTACACGTTATATATCAATATAATTACACTTTGGGCCAGATTTGGCCCCCGGGCCTGAGTTTGACACATGTGGTTTAAAGTGTAGTACACCAACGTTCTGTGGGATTATGAGTGCTGTAAGTTTTTTTATTTTTGCAGATTAATGGGGAATAAAGTTAAATTATAAAGGCAGCATTCAGCTCTGATATTCTGACTTCTACTGAGGACACTTCACTCATTCTCAAAGCTCAAAGGTCCACATAAGCCCGGCCCATTACCCATCAGCCACCTTAACAACACAGAAACAGGTCCAAATATCAACATTCAATACTGTACTTGCTGATGCAGTTTTACTCACTATGTGAGCTCAGTGTAAGACAATGTAAAGTGAGTTGAAGATATGTTTATAAAACAACAAAACAACCACAACTTGACCAACAGTCTGAATAAAGGAGTTAGTTGTTGATGTTTATTGTTTGGTTTACAAACAACATTAGCCGGCGGGTAAACCTTAGGAAAAAGTTCAAATGCAAAGGAGACGACGTCACAAACCCAGTGAGAATTTTGGACCACTAACGTGTAAAGGTTTGTCAGCCACCTGAGCTCAAATTTGGCCATAAATGTAATGACAAAAGTTGGACTTGAGAAAAACCTTCTCACCTTCTTCCATTTTTTCTGCTTTCTCTTTTTTTTCTCCTTCTTTCGTCTCCTATGCTCCTCCTCCTCCTCTTCGATCAGCGGCACATATCGATCAGGAAGAACACTGAAATAAACTTCTTTGGAACTTTTCTGTTTTTTAACACCAGCAGCAGGAAGGGAAGGAGCAGGAGCAACTTCTTCCTCCTTCTCCTCTGCTCCCATTTTGTCTGTCTGGTTCTTCTCCTTCCTCTGTTGCTCCTTTCACCTCCTTTTAAGACCTTTGGAACTTTGAGGGAGGAGTCGAAGTCCAACGTTATCCCGGAGCTGTCCGTCTGAGTTTTTAAACATAAAAGTTTTGATGTCCAGGTCACATCAACAATGTTGAACCTGTAGTTTTTTTAATGAACTTTTCAGGGTTTTGTTTTGTGATTTTTTGAAAAAAACATCTAAAACTAGCAGTTTTTCAGTTTGTTTTTACAGAGCAAACAGTAAAACCACTGAGTCAACATGAAAAAGCGGCAGAACCTGTTCATAATTTATTCTACTGCTGAGGAAAACAACTCAAACTTAAATGTAAAAATTGGTTTAAAAAAGAGTTAGTCAAAGACAAGACAAAAATGCAATGGTTATAAAAAACAAAGTCATACAATGAAAATAACCACAAAAGCAGGAATAGTAAAAAAGTTAAAGAAACATTTTAACATTTACATTTACACATTAATATAACATTAAAATGTAAAATTGGTTTAAATTTGTAATACAGAATAGAGTTAAGACTGCGAAAAGTAAAAACAAATAATGATTCAATGAACTGAGTGAAAACTAAAGGTTATACAAGATATGAAAACATTTTGAAACATTAAAAAATAGTGCTGCTAAAAACTTTTCTGAGAAGAAGCTCAGCAAAACTGTGGAAAAAAAACACTCAGTTAGCTAACAAATACCTCAGAAAACATACTTTAAATTATAGAAAGTAATTAAAATTCAATTTCTTTCTATATGCTCACACTAACTGTGTTAGATTTAAAAGTGCTCAGTGGAAAAACATCAATGTCAGAGTAACAAAAATATCCCCTTCATTGATGTTGTTGTCCACGGTTTCTTGTTCCATGTAGCACTATAGGATCTTGTCGACCTTTGACCCTGCAACCATATTGTACATTTAATTAACAATGAGCTAAAAAAAGAAGAGACTAAATGTCAAAGTTTTTAAAAAATGCATCATAATTGATGCAAAATAGATTAATGATGTTCCGATGAATTCACAAATCAATGATAAAAACTGTTTTGACTAATAATCAAAAGTTGGTGAAACCTGTAACACAGTTGGCTAAGATGCTAACCTTTCGGTTTCTTGACATCGCTGGGCTTTGACAGCAGCTTCTCCACAGTTTCCTGCAGCAGACATTCAAACGGTCAAATAAAACAATTCCACTCACTGAACAAATGAAGCCATAAAAATATTGAACAATGGTTTTTGTACCAAGAAGTTTCCTCTGCTCTCTGATAGGATTTGGAGGGCGTGGTCCGCACTGGCTCCCCCTCTTGGCATCACACTTGATCGAACCATTGACAGCAGGGCAGTAACTAGACACAGCCAACACTGTCAGTCATCACTGAACCAACCAGCACTCACACAAGAATGGAATACCCTACTATTTACTGAGTGATCCACAGAACCATCAACCTACCAAACAAGTAAGCAATCAAGACTGATAATGTGGTCACCTCTTTGTTGATTGACAGCTTCATTAAGCCCCTCCCAAGGTGCCCAGAGAAGCACTGCATTGTGGGAGTCACAGCGGGCATGTCTGAGGTGACGGAGGGATGGTATCTCAGCCTGGAAGTCCTTCCCCACATTGATCCTCCTGTGAATGGAAGCTCCAAATGATCAGGTGACCTCTGTGTGATGTCACAGTTAACCTGAACAACAACATTTTCAGTTTTACTCACGCCTGATTGGTTAGTGTTTCAAAGGCTGAAAAGCATTGGCGTCCACCTGCCAATCAGTGACAACAGAAAGTTCACTTTATAATGTTTTTTTAGAAGTGAAAATGAGCTGTTTCTTAGCTACGACTTAGCTAACCTTTCTGGATTATATTTTTGGTTCTTTTTTCCTTTTTTTTCCTTTTTGCTGACTGGGCCAAATTCTGATTATTAATACAATGTTTTCGATAACCTAATATTTCTCAACTTTTAATGACACATTTTTATGTTATGTTCAGATTCTCACCTTCGCCACTCCAGGCTACAGTTCTCTGCTCACTCCTAGTGGCGGCGATTGAGCAGTACAGTCCAGGTCCTGCCCTCATGGGAGACAGCATGGGAGGAGGGATGTAGTGTGGTCCAACTGTCTGTTCTTGGTCCAAATCCAGTTTCCCGTCCTGCAGGTGCATGAGACTGGTGTACAGCGGCAAAGCGCCACCTGTGGCTGCAGACGAGACACTGCAGCTCCTGTATTCTTTCTGAGCATGGGATGTTGCTCTGGAGGCAGAACTTGTTGTGGAAGCTGAGGTTTGAATGGGAGGAGTCTTAGTATCGCAAATGTGACTGTTCATAGCTGACAAACTCCTGAAAACCTGCTGACAGCCTGTGCACAGCAGTCTGAGAGAGAGAGAGAGAGAGAGAGAGTCCTTTTAGCTATGACTAGTCTGTTTTTTAATTTTATCAACTGTTTTAAACCTTACCTTTTCTTTGAAAGCTTTGAGCTTTGTGTTGATGGTGTTGTTTTTATCTAAAGAGAAGAGAATAAAGTTAAATATTAAGTTAATATTTACTGTTCAGGTTCAAAGTTTTTCCAAACCTAAAACTTTGAATGTTTTATATAAATTTAAAAATTTCAAATGACAACATTAACATATTTATGAGACAGACCCAGGACATGATTTCTTCTTCTGTTTGTCCAACAGAGGGCGTAACACTCTGTGAAATCCCATTGAAGAGACTCAGGTGGTCCTGGACCAAATTAGTCTGGTTCAGGTGTAGACTGGACTCCAAGGACTCAGGACTAAAGGTCTGGTACAGGCTCATGTCTAGCTTTGTGTGGAACATTTGATGATCTGGACTGATGTTGGGGATTTGTGGATAATGAGGACTAGGATATTGTGCCTGTGGACTACACAAGTCCTGGCTGCAGTTGTCAGTGATCTGGGAGGTCCAGGTATCCATGCAGAGAGCTCCGGACCTGGAATCCAGATGAAAATCCTGAGGAACCCAGGGTTCCTGAGAACCCACATCAGCTGTAATACTTTGTTCATACGTATGACTGCCAAAGAGGGCGCTGTGGTTCACATGTGGCCCAAGTCCACCAGCACTAAAAAGGGCCTGGTTCTGGATCTGGTTCTGGTTGTAAAAGTTTAGATCAGAGTATGTGTTGCTATGGTGTAAACAGGAGACTCCAGATTCTGTCCAGTCCACATTTCCCAAACCTGTATAATTCAAAGCTAGACTCGGGTTTTGGCTGAAGTCTGGGTGCTGGTTAGGGAAGACCTGAGAAGAGATTGGTGGTGACAGATTGTTGAAAAAAAAGAAGAAGAATTGTGTGGGTTTTTTTTTAAATAGAGGAGCAATTAGTCAAAAAAGAAAAAAGAAAAGAACCTGAGGAGGAGGATTTTCATTTTGACTCCAGGAGGCGAAGGAAGGAGTAGGAGCTGAAAAAATGCAGGACTGAAAAAAACAAACATATTTTCAATATTTTAATGAATTAAGTTTGGACACAAACAAAGCAAAAACAATATAACTTGCTAGAAGGTTCATCAGTTTACAGATAAATAACAGAAAGAAAACTAAAAGTTAGCCCAGAAAAAAAAAAAACTCTCAAAAGCCAAACTCTCAAATAGCAACAAAGAAGTTTTGATAAAACAAGAAGTGGCCAATTGTTAGCCAGGAGTTAACCAGAAACACACCGTCCACTTTATCCTGAAGTAAATTAAAAACAAGAGCTGAATTTGAAGTGCCAAAGGGTGTTGATCCGGCCAGGAATAAATATGAAACATCAAATTTTTTTATACTGATCAAAATAGATAGAAGTTATTTGTTAAATTACAAAAACTACATAGATACTGCAATGAAGTGGAATGAAATGTTTAATTTAAATGAAAGTGAAAAAGAGAAACCTACCTGAAACATTGCTGACTAACACTTACAGACACTCTGTGTTTCAGTGTGTGTGTCGCCTGTTAGTTCTGACAGGATGTGGTCACATGTTCTTTCTTTCTCATCGTCTATTTCTTCCTCACCATGACGACAGGTTCAGAGACAGACAAGCTCAAAAAAAAACAAAAAACAAAAAACAAAACCTAAATGTCAAATTGATATAATGAGATTAAAATATATCGTGTAATTTTCATGTCAATGAATGCCCATTTTATAGACTGGGTATTTCATTAATCGAATTTAATTATTTGTTTAATTGTGTTTAAATAAAATATTGTACGTTTTAAACCATGTTTTTTTTAATCATAGCTTAAAGGACAAAAGTCGCATGGGACGCAAGTAAAGAAAAAACATATATAATACAGACTACAGAATTTTGACTGCAATATTCAAACGTATTTTTCAATGTTTAAATACATTACGTTTTTTTGCATCCAAGCTCAGAAAAAAATGTGTTCCCTTTAATCAACTTACGTAAAACCATGTAATTTTATAAACATTAAAGTTAACAATATTACATTATGGAAGAAAAAACGTTGTGACCGGAACTATTGTGTGACGGATCGTGCTTCAGTACGGTATTCCTGCGTAGTGGTAACTGACCCTTCATAATAAAACAACATCTTGTTCAAAGTCCATTATTTAACGTGAATATTGACAAATTAAAATACATTACATTGTCGGACAACGGATCTATGATATTTACAACGAATATTGCCAAATATAATAAGCCGTTTTAAAATGAATGACGATTAAGTCTGCGATTTTTAATAAACTACCCTTGTTTTTTAGGGCCCCAGCGGAAATGAACGATTCGCCTGCAGTAAGTCCTCGTAAATGTTTGAGGTGAACGCGATACCAATCGTCCTCGTTTTGCTTCACTATTTTAACTAACTTTTACACTTTTTACGTCTTATTTTTAAACGACCAAAGCCTTCTGTCAGGTTGGTTATTTAAAAGTTGCGGGTATTCAAAGAGGAACGCTAAGGTCAACGTTAGCGAATTGACCCAATAATTAAAGGAGGGATCTCTTACGTCACAGAATTAAAAAGAAAGAGTCTGCAATTATTGAAACTTGTCAAAACATTTCTAACACAAGTCAGATTGTCTTAAGGCCACCTTGAATTCCGAAAAAATGCCGCATCAATGTATACTTTTTAGCATGTTTTTATTCTAACCTTTTCTTTAATACGGTCATAACCGACATCCCACCGGCAACTGGTACTTTCTGGGATGAATTCGATGTTTATGTGTCTTCCAGAAGGCCTGAAGGCTAGTGGTTCTCTGGTTTAATATTTGATAACAAAGTTATTCAATCGTTAATAAAGATATCTCGGAAGAGAGTCAGATAAAAGTATCAAAACAAAAAAAGTTAGTCAAACACAATAAATCAAAGTCTCCAAAAGACACTAGGAAAGATAGCTCAAAGTTAAGAAACTATTACAAATGTTCATTGTGAAATAAGTAAAAGTTGAAGATAAATTATGTCATTCTTTTGGAAATTATTTAAAATTTCCCTGAGAAGGGTTAAATTTTGCTGCCCTGATTCCATTTAGCTTCTTTTTAATGTTTTTGCAGTGATGGTGTTGTGTTGACACAGGATGATGTCCTTCATCAGAAGGACAGGGCCTCTTCTCAGAGGATGGTCAGTTGTTTACAGAAGTTCCAGAAGAAACCAGCTGTGGAGTAACAGCAGCCTATTCTCTGACTGTACAAACCTTGTCCTACAGTCCAGCTCCACAGATGTGTTCCAGAACCTAGCTCTAGAGGATTGGATAGAGGCTAACATAGACCTGGAGCAGCGCAGCATCCTGCTGCTATGGAGGAACTCTCCAGCTGTGGTTATTGGACGTCACCAGAACCCATGGGCTGAGTGTGACCTGCCATCTATGAAGGTGATGGGAATTCCTCTGGCCCGGAGGAGGAGTGGTGGTGGCACAGTTTTCCATGATCTTGGTAACCTCAATCTGACCTTCTTCACCTCCAAGAAGGCATATGACAGGAAGAGGAACCTAAAGGTCATTACTGAGGCTCTACGACACCTAAGGCCAGAACTAGATGTTCATGCCACTGACAGACTGGACATATTATTGAATGGATGCCTCAAAATCTCAGGTAAAGTCTATAAAAATATTATTTATTTTACCTCAGAAAGAGACAGGAAGTTCAAATGTATGCATTTAAAATCCTTTATTAAGAATAACCTCAGTGACAAGCCTTAACAAAGAAACCAGTAGTGGATCAGCAACTTCAGGGCAGAGTCAAAATTACCCCATCATAATTGAGGGGTACTTCTCACTCACTTCTTTTACGACCATCATGGTCCACCGGGATCTGTGTACAAGATATGTTGTGCAACACACATTCAAGGTTTAAAAATGTGACAAACAGTCCAGAATATCTCATTCATCATCATCATTATACATCTGCTAGCTTTAACAATGCACGTCAGCTGAGAAACAAATTTTACAGTCGCTTTGTCACTCAACCAGTGGCTCAAGGATGAATGAAAGAACAAGAACTGGTGCTGCATTCATTTGGTGTTGGAAGATCCAAGTTCCTGACTTGGCCAGCCATTCTTCCGACTTGTGTTCATGTGATGTTAAGTCTTAATGTGGGAAAAACATGGATGCTACAAAAAAGATGGGTTGTATTTTAATGTGCAAAGGTAACTGATTGTTTATAGTTTTTATTGACACCAAGGAGCAGAGGAGCCTTGTGAATTTCCTCAGTCGGAATGTCATTGTTTTCAACCAATTTTTTCGACACCTCATGAATGCAGCATCAGTTGCTTTTAGTGCCTAAAATGTTATGGACCACAATAGGGATGTCTGAAATCACCTAACATTAAAATGTTCCCACAGTAAGAAAGGGACTTGACTTGTATTTTAATATGATTATGATATGATATTGAGGGGTATAGTGCCTCCCAGTACACCCTGTAATTCAAACTATCCTCCTGGGCCATGGTGAGCTAAAATTAATAAAATGATGTGAATAATTACTCAATTTGTATTTTTTCTTAAAGGAAGTGCATCCAGGCTAAGTAGGAAGTCTTCCTACCATCACTGCACCCTGCTTCACTCAGCCAATCGCTCCTCTCTCTCTGCTCTTCTCCGCCCCTCCTGTCCTGGTATCAATAGCCACGCTACTCCCAGTGTTCCATCACCTGTGGCCAACCTACTGGACCATGTCCCTTCTCTGCAGTGGGAGGAACTTTTGGAGGGACTGGTGGTTCAGTATCAGAAAGGTATCTGTAAAGTCAGATTTCTTTACTAAATTTACACCTATTCCTCCCACTGTTAGTGAATTCATTTTAATCCCTTCTCTTAGAGTTTGGCATTAGCTCTGTGCCGACCCTCATAGACCCCACTGATGAGTCTGTATTCCCCGGACTGAGCAGAGCCGCCACAGAACTGTGCAGCTGGGACTGGACTTTTGGGAAGACGCCAAAGTTCAGTGTCCAGACAGTGATAGACCTTAAGGATAAAGAGACTTGTGCTGCTCTGACCATAGAGGTGAAGAATGGCCTAATCCTACAGTGTGAGCTGGATGTTCCTGCGGAGTGGATCCCTGAGCATCTGAGTAAAGAATTGGCTAACACTCTGATTGGAGAACGTTTCTGTCGTCAGAGAGCAGCCGCTGCAGTCTCTGAGCTGCTGCGCTGTGAGAGGATAGAAATGCAGACCAGAATTCACCAGCTGAGCCTCGCTTTGGTGTCAGCTATTGGCTGAGTGCCACCTGCACACTGACAGTGACATCAGGCTAATTAAAATATTGAATACACTGAATATTCTTTTCTAAAAATATATATTTAAATAAAAGTTTGTGTAATATTCATAAATGGCAGAATAAACCCCTAGTTTCATGCTGTATGCAGCACTTGAACATGTGTTCTGCGGACCAGGGTTCATTATCTTTTTTACTGATTATAATTACAAACTGGAAATTCAGTACAATTTTGTTGTTTGTTTTTTCTGGAAATATTTGAGCAGTTTGAATCACTGATATATATTAAAGTTTGTCAATAAAAATTCAGTTTTCATTTCAGTTGAAAGACATGTTGGTTCAAAAATGTTTTTATTGACTTTAGTCATCCATGTAACAACATAAAAACCTGAGGTAGTACGATGACATTAGCTCCTCTCATTGAAGGTAGTGAATTAGAGGAGATAAGGTCAACTTTATTACAGTATAAAACATTCTGGGTTTAAAATTAAACCCAGATTTGTTTATACTGTAATAAAGTTGTGACTTCTTTAACCAAACCTAATAAACTAAGCAACCAACTAACCTACTATCTAACACTACCCAGACGCAGACTAAACCACAACGACGTACGTACACCAACAACTCACTCCCGCAGGGCGCCTGCGCAAATTACCAAAGATGTTAGAATTAGGATGATAGGTGTAACACTAACATTTTTTTCTTCAAAGTCAATAAGCTGCTGAACATAAGTGCCCTGTTTTCATTCTTCTTCAGCGTTAAATCCGTCTTCTCGGGTGTGGAGCAAATTTCTCCTGTCATTTCTGAGCAACAGCGGGGCACCCTGGACAGTTCAACAGAGGCCCATATGGATGAGAAAAGGGAAAAGATATATCTAATAAGTATGCCTGTATGTATTAACAAACATAGCTGGTCTTTTGAGACTTATATCATCCAAATTATTGTGTACAGTATTTAATTTTTTGTTATAATCGCAGGAAAAAGGCATGTGAGTGAACCGTAGCTGCGTCCTTCTGTCTGTAGACGATCTCTGCACGTGTGACGTGAACCGTGACGTTCCTCAGCGGTGGAGCTCAGCGGTAGAAGCGCAGCATCAGCGCAGAATGGGGAAGAAACAGAAGAAAACCGGGGAAGACAGGTACTGGAGAACCGTACCGATACCTCCAACATTAACACCCAGTTATACCGAACCACTCTGTGGGTTTAAACCGTCTCTAGTGGGCTGCGGTTTCGTGCTGTGTTATCTGTTGTCTCAGAAGCTAAAGTGTTAGCAGTAGCTAAACCACGCGTCAGAATAAGCGTGAGTCTGTGTGCAGGGTTTATATCGAACTAAACATGTTAAATTTACTTTGTATAAGTAACATTTAAGTAGGGCCCAAGTTAAAATAATTCGGAGAGGACTGTATTTTAAAATATAATGTTTTTGCGCTATATTGACGCTGTTGATGTTTAGAACTAGCATTAGCACCGGTTTTATTAGCAGCTGTGAGGCTGACAGTCAGAATTAAACCCCTGACACTGGCCTATACTGCAGCACACGCTGCACACTTGATGCTAACAGGTTAAAGAGGTTAGCCCCGTCTCAACAGAAGGTGGGCTTAGCTTTGCTGTCTTTAAGTCGACGTTTGACACCTGTGTTCTTTCTCAAACAACTACACTGGCCGACAATGACGAAATCAACTTGCTTATCTGGTATACTTCCGGATCACCTTCAGGTTTAACTTGGGCTATCGAGATAAGGTCAGCCTAAGCTGGTGGTTTATCCCATGGGTTGTGTTTACGAAGTGGTAACTAATAGTTTTCCCGACAAGCATCTAGTCTCATTGGTTCAAGAGTCCTTTGGATCTGAGTTTTTACAATGTAAAGTTCTTGGTTGTCAGGCAAAGTTATAATCTTTGTGTTGCTGTTGAGCCCAGTGGGTGGGGGTGGGGGTGGATAGTGGTGCTTTGTAAGTAAAAAGCAGAGTCAGCTATTGTGTTGGTTCATATTGTTACAAAGAGAGAGAGAGAGAGAGCTTTTTATTTACAGTGCATTCTCTGTCTTTCACTCTTGTCAAATGTTCTCACTTGATTCATGATTGATGTCTGTGTTTAGTGCCAAAGGAGATGATATCGATATTGATGCATTGGCAGCGGAGATTGAAGGTGCTGGAGCCTCTAAAGAGCCCAAAGGGAAGAAGGCAAAGAAGAAAGGAGCCAAAAAAGATGACTTTGAGTACGGTTTACCCCCTTTACCGTCCTTAATTATTTCTTATGCATATCTTTCTCTGCTTTTCCCCTATTTTTTTAAAATATTCTTCTAAATTATTTTACCATCATCTGAAATCCTGCTCTCTGTCCCCTTTTCTTTTTACATTTCTGTCCCTTTCCCTGCTGGCCCTCTTTTTACTGTCCTTCTCTTTCATGTCCTGTTTTCAAGTTTCTTAAAAACAACGTTACTGAAGTCCATTTGTTTCTCTTTCAGTGAAGATGACATTCTGAAGGAGTTGGAGGAGTTGTCTCTGGAGACTCAGGGAGGAAAGGCTAAGGTGAAAGACTGAGGAGAAAAACTCTTCTCATTCCCCTTTAGACCCTTCTTCTAATTTTCCTTTTTTTCTTTGTTTGATTTTTAATGTAGATTTCAGATGTCACAGATGATGTGGATGACATTGATGCACCCAAACCAGAGAAGAAGAAGACTAGGAAGGGGAAGAAGGGTGGAGCCAGTCCTCAGGATGAGGATGGAGATGAAGGAGAGGTTCGTGCAGAGCCAGAGAGGAATGGAGAACAGAGAAACAAGAAGGTAGTGAGCATTTACTTAGTTTAAGGGTTAGATGAATGTTCTATTTTTTTTTTTCAAGTTCTCCAATGTTTAAATATCTGCTATTCTTACTGCTCCCACAGGACTCTCCTCCCTCTGATTCTGACGATGACAGCAGCTCACAATCTCGCAACAAGACCAAACCAGGAAAGAAAGAAGGGAAAAAAGCTCCAGAGTCTGACGTTGAAGACCAGGATGAAGGTGTAGAGAAATCAGGAGTAACAAAAGAGGAAGAGTCTGAGGACGAGGAGTTCACCTCCAGGAGGGAAAAGAAGAAAAAGAACAAAGGCAAGGCCAAAGATGAGAGCGAAGAGGAGGACGAGGAGAACAGGGAGGCAGGAGAAACAGGCGAGTTTAAAATCAAGACGGCCGCTCAGAAGAAGGCAGAGAAAAAGGAGAGGGACAAAAAAAAGAAAGAGGAGGAGAGGATGAAGCAGAAAAAGCTCAAGGAGAAAGAAAAGGAGGTAGAGACCAAGGTAGAGAAGAAAGCTACAGCAGACCCCATACCCACACCTATGGCTCCAACCACTGCAATGGAGGAACAGGAAGAGGTGGAGCCAGCAGCAGATGGTGAGGAGACGGCTCTTTATTTCTCTCTTAAATTCCATTCTTTGTTTTTCTTCTTTATTTTTTTTGTTATGTCCTGTCTCCTCTTTCCTTACCTTATTTACAATTTTTCTGTTCCTTCTACCTTGTGTTTATGACTTTGTTCGCTTGTTCCTTCTTTCTTTTCCTTGTTTATTTTCCTTCATTTTTTGTGGTATTCTTTCTTTTTTCCTCTCCTCTATTCTTTTTTCATTGTTTGCCTTCCTAACTGTCATCCTTTCTTTTTTCTTTTTTTTTCTTTTATAAATGCATTGAGTAAAATGGTTAAAACTCTTGAACAGATGATGGGGACAAAAAGAAGAAGGACAAGAAGAAGAAGAAAGGAGATGAGAAGGAGAAGGATAAGGATAAGGATAAGAAGAAGGGACCCAGTAAGGCCACAGTGAAGGCCATGCAGGAGGCACTGGCCAAGATGAAAGAGGTGAAAAGAGTATTTTATGAAGCTTCAGTTGGCCCAGAGTTTGTTTCTGATTAAGGTATTGATGATGATTGTCAATGTTGTAGGAGGAAGAGCGAGCAAAGAAAGAGGAGGAAGAGCGACAGAGAAGGTTGGAAGAGCTGGAGAAGCAGCGGCTGGAGCAGGTACTATTCTAATAATTGTCTTTTTTTTCTTATTTAAACCATTGGCCTTCCCTCGAACCTGTGTTCTTCTCTCATCCAATTTTCAGGAGCGTCTGGAACAAGAACGTAAGGAGAAGAAGAAGCAGAAGGAAAAGGAGAGAAAGGAACGCCTTAAGAAGGAAGGAAAGCTGCTGACCAAAGCCCAGAAAGAAGCTCGAGCTCGAGCTGAGGCTACGCTGAAGATGCTTCAGGCTCAGGGTGAACATCTTTACATGTTTATTCCTGATGATGTCACAGTTCAAATTTGCCTACATTTTAGGGTGAAATCTTTTTTGACATGCTTTTTGTATTTCCTTTATTTTCATTAACACTTGGGTAACTTCTAACTACTTCTTTGTTTATACAATAGCAGATTTTTATCGTATATTTGCCAACATTTATTTATCTCTGACTAGAGTAAAACTTTAAATGTTTATTGACTTTCTCAGCAATGGTCTGATAGCTTTGGCTAACATTGAGCTATTATTGGCATGTAGGTGTTGAAGTGCCATCCAAAGACTCTGTGCCAAAGAAGAAACCAGTTTATGGAGACAAGAGGAAGAAGAAACCAAACGCTGCCACACATGAAGGTCACACATCTTTTTCACAATGATTGAAACATTTCAGGCTAATGTAATCACAAATTAATGGTTTTTTTTAAGTGATAATCAAATAATTGTGTGTTTGACAGAATCCTCAGAGGTGACATCTCCAGTGTCAGAAACACCAGAACCTGTTCCAATGGAGAACAACACAGAGAAGACGACAATAGCACAAACAGGTTAATGTCTAAAGAACAGAAGGTTTAATGAACCATCTTTACTGCTCCATCTCCATGATTACATTTTTCTCCTGTGTTGACCCCTTTCTCCTTTTTCCTAAGAAGTGACTGTTTACTTGTGTATGTTTGTGTTCAGAGGGCAAGGCTGATGCAGCTGTGGACGACTGGGAGGCCATTGCCAGTGATGAGGAGAAAGGTGAGGAGGAGAGAGAAAGGTTTACTGGAAAATAGACATTGAGCACTAACCCTGTGTGATGTTATTCCTCAGAGCTGAAGAAAAATCACGTCCTAAAGAAGGAGGACTCATCAGCTACACGTCCCTCTCAGCCTGCAGGCAATGAGGAGGAAGAAGATGAGGAAGAGGATGAAGACGAGGAGGAAGATGAGGAAGATGATGAAGAAGATGAGGAGAGCGAGGCTGAGGATCGGGACCGAGTGACGACGACAACAACAACAACAACAACAACAACAACAACCACAGCACCAGCGCACAGTAAGAAAAAGGAGAGTGAGGACGACAGCAGTGAGAGCGAAGAGGAGGACGGAAGGACAAAGGAGGAGCGACTATACGACAGAGCCAAGAGAAGAATAGAGGTGAGGAGGGAGAAGATGCAAGTAGGAGTAGTGGGACAATGCAGCTTTTTCACCCATTTTTGTTTATACCAATGCTGGGTTTTTCCAGAAACGCAGATTAGAAAATCAGAAGAACACTGACCTGAGCAAACTAAGAGCTCCTGTCGTCTGTGTGCTCGGACATGTCGACACGGGCAAGACCAAGATCCTGGACAAGGTCCAAACTTTACTTTCTGTTTATTTACTGTTTACTGTATGTTTATATATTTATTGGCATTTATTTACTGACTGCTTACTTGTTTTATCTTCAGCTGCGTCACACTCATGTTCAAGACGGTGAAGCTGGAGGAATCACTCAACAGATTGGAGCTACCAACGTTCCCATACAGACCATCGAAGAGCAGATAAAGATGGTCAAGAATGTACGATACTGACCTGAACATCTATACACAGACACATTTATGCACGTAGACATAAACACATACTAACATTGTGTTTGTGCAGTTTGACAAAGAAAGCATCAAGATTCCGGGCATGTTGATCATTGATACACCAGGACACGAGTCTTTCAGGTAAGAGACTCTAGAGATTTATCTGAAAGATTTTGGAGTCGAGGCTTTAATCCCCACCTCCTATTTCCCCTCCGTCTCCGCAGTAACCTAAGGAACCGTGGCAGCTCCCTGTGCGACATCGCCATCCTGGTGGTAGATATCATGCACGGCCTAGAGCCACAGACGCTGGAGTCCATTAATCTTTTGAAGGAGAAGAAGTGTCCCTTCATCGTGGCCCTCAACAAGGTCTGGTGCTATCTGTGGTCACCATCTCGGCTCCATCTCTTTCTGTTCACTGTGTGTGACCTTTTTGTGTGTGTGTTTTGTGGAGTCAGATTGACCGCCTGTACGACTGGAAGAAAAGTCCTGAAACAGATGTGGCTGTCACACTGAAGAAGCAAAAGAAGAACACCAAGGATGAGTTTGACGAGAGGGCAAAGGCTGTTATTGTGGAGTTCGCTCAGCAGGTAACCTCAGCTGTGATGTCACTGACCAATCACAGTAAATCTTTTATCACAGACATTTATCACAGGATGTCACTGACCAATCACAGTAAATCTCAATGAAGCATATTGTCTTAATAGTAGAAAATCTAAAGAAAATAAATGACCTTGTCACAATAAAATTAAATGTGTACCCCTTTCAAACATTTGTTTTTAATTAAATGTTTTATATTTTTATAATTTTTATTAAAAGGTACTGGGCCTTTTTGGTTTTTACAATAAATGTTATTGTGAAAATTTACTGATCATAAGACTATTTTCCTAACATTTACCTAATGGGTAAATGGGATGTTTGGTTTTTATTAGGGTCTAAATGCAGCCTTGTTCTACGACAACAAAGACCCTCGTACCTTTGTGTCCTTGGTTCCCACATCAGCCCACAGTGGAGACGGGATGGGAAACCTGATCGCTCTGTTGGTGGAGCTGACACAGACCATGTTGGCCCGGCGGTTGGCTCACTGTGACGAGCTGAGAGCCCAAGTCATGGAGGTCAGACATTGCTATTTGATAAATCTAAGTACATTAAGTAGTTTAATAGTTAATGTTGGTCTGAGTGTCATGACCTGATAATGATGTTCAGGTGAAAGCTTTGCCTGGAATGGGAACAACGGTAGATGTCATTCTCATTAATGGACGTCTGCGTGAAGGAGACACAATCATCGTCCCCGGGGTGGATGGACCAATTGTAACACAGATCAGAGGATTACTGCTGCCTCCTCCTTTGAAAGAGCTGAGAGTCAAGGTTAGAATTCTCCTCCATCATACACACAGGCTTCATCAAGGAGTTTCAGGTCCTTAAAAAGTATTTGTAATTCTTTGTGTTTGAAAAGGGCAAGACTTATGTATAAATAGAGTGGTAGATGAGTGATAAGAATAAGTGAGAATAAGTAAATAAGTAAGAAGCCATTAAAATATTGCCAGTACTGTGGTAGAAACAACTATCAGCAGTTTAGATTTAGCTGCCAAAAGAATCTTAACACCTGGCAAACAAGCACAAATATATATATAAATAAGACAACTGGCTAAAACATTTAACTAACAAAGCACAAATGATAAGTTCTTGTTAAATATAGCTCTGATATAAGGTACCCTTTATGCCCATTGTGATGGCAAAGAGGTGCAGGTGCAGAAAAAGCTAACAATAGAGTACCTGAAAGTGTTCAAGACCTCATCTTGAGAAACTGTATGAGTTCTTAATATCCCTTTAAAACTCTGTTGTAGAATCAATACGAGAAGCACAAAGAGGTCTCCACTTCTCAAGGTGTGAAGATTTTGGGTAAAGACCTGGAAAAGACACTGGCAGGGCTCCCCCTGTTGGTGGCCCACAAGGAGGATGAGGTCCCAGTTCTAAAGGTAAAATGAACAAACTCTTTAACATGCACAGAGGCAGGAAAGAGCTACAACTCACCCCTTCTGTGTGGTTTTTCCAGGATGAGCTGGTGCGTGAACTCAAACAGACGCTCAATGCCATCAAACTGGAGGAGAAAGGAGTTTATGTTCAGGCGTCCACGTTGGGATCTTTGGAGGCTCTGCTGGAGTTCCTCAGGACGTCCAAAGTCCCAGTCAGTATCCATCTGGACCAAACTTATACCCTGAAAGGCCACAGAGAGAAGATATTTAACCCTGAAATCTGTGTGTGTGTTTGTCTGTGCAGTATGCAGGCATCAACATTGGTCCAGTCCACAAAAAGGACGTGATGAAGGCCTCCGCCATGTTGGAACATGACCCACAGTGAGTGAGGGCATTGTGAGAACATCATCTGACCTTTTTAGTGGTGTGAGGTGTTTCTGATGTCTGTTTGTGTACTGGACACAGGTATGCAGTGATCCTGGCCTTTGACGTGAAGGTGGAACGAGACAGTCAAGAAATGGCCGACAGTCTGGGTGTCAGGATCTTCTCAGCTGAGATCATCTATCACCTATTTGATGCCTTCACCAAGTACAGAGAAGACTACAAGAAGGCCAAACAGGAAGAGTTCAAGTATGGGCTATTTTTATTTTTTATTTTTATTATAATCTGTCATCTCTGTTCTCTGACTCTTTGTGTTTCTTTTGAATGACAGACACGTGGCTGTGTTTCCGGCGAAGATTCGAGTTCTTCCTCAGTTCATCTTCAACTCCAGAGATCCCATTGTTATGGGCGTCATCGTGGATGCTGGAATTCTTAAGCAGGGAACGCCGCTCTGTGTCCCCAGCAAGGGGGTGAGAATCATTACTACATCGTTTTCTTATGGTTTAGTTTGTTAGACCAACCAAGGAACTCAAATACTATTATTATTATTATAAAATAATAATAATAATAATAATACATTGGAGAAAGATTTGTGGACCCTTCTGTAGAAATGAGCACTAACTCTGCAAATTTTTATCTCAGTAGATTATTGTCTCAGATTATATTGTATTCAAATAGTCTTGTTTGTGCAGGTTTGTTCACATTGGTGTGGTGTCTAGGATAATCTCAGATTACTGATAGTCTTGTACCTGTATCTTTCAGTTTGTGGACATTGGAATTGTGACCAGCATTGAGATGAACCACAAACCGGTGGACTCTGCGAAGAAAGGACAGGAAGTGTGTGTGAAAATCGAGCCCATTCCCGGAGAATCTCCGAAGATGTACGGACGTCATTTTGAAGCTACAGACATCATTGTCAGTAAGGTGAGGTTTTGCCCACTGAGGAGGAGGCACCAACGCCTCCATATTTTCAAGTTGAAATCTGTCTTGTGGAATAGATAGATTATGTTACTGATAGGAGGTGAGATTATTGAATCAAATTAATGCTAGTGAACAGAAAACAAGTGTCGGTGTAAAGCCAAAGAAGAACAAAAGTAAAAGAAACCAGGGAGGAGGACAACCAACCCACCCTAATTTGTAACCACATCAGGATTGGTTACAAATTACACCAGGTGAAGGATTACAGTAACCGATTACAGGTGTGAGTCACAGGTTGTAGTTTATTGTTACAGGTGGTAAGAAGTCACAGATTACATAAAGTGATAGATTGTAGGCAGAGGTCAAATATTACAGATTACTGTCAGGGATAGAAATGTTTTAAAATGGTTGAAGACTAGGTTAAATCATGTCATAATCTTGTGAAGCCTTTAATTTTTTAACCCCGGCCTTAATAGAAAACATTTGCTTGTTCAGATCACACGAGCATCAATCGATGCTCTGAAGAACTGGTTCAGAGACGAGATGCAGAAGTCTGACTGGCAGCTGATTGTGGAGTTAAAGAAGACCTTTGAGATCATCTGAGGGACCCAACACACACACACACAGATTTAAAAAAACACAGAGTTAAAGACACATACACACTTCCTGAGAGGACGAAGAGGGAAGGGAAAAAAGTGTTTTTCTGTGAGAAACGAACAGAGTTTTCCACTGTTGTTAACAGTGATTGTTTAGACATTTCACATACATACATACACACACTCAGTATTCCAACGTGCCTGTTCTACAGCAACAACAAGGTTGTGTTATAGTTTTCTTCTGATCCTGGTACACCATGGGGATTGTACATGTACAGAAAAGCATCAACAGGAAAGGAGAAGAGAATTTAGAAGAAAAAAAAATACAATTTTTCACATTAAGGTCTCGGTGAAGTCACTGACATCTGCGTTTCCATAGACAAACCATGAACAGATTTTAAAGTCCTGTGGGTGAAGCTCAGATTTCACTTCAACAATTTTGGAAATTGATGGAAAAAAATTCACTATAAGGTGAGAAATGTTTTTTAAAAAAACCTCTTTAAAAAAGTGGAAAAATAAAGTAAAGTTGAATTGAATTTTGACGACATAAACCAGTCAGGATTTGGATGTGAAATAGTTGCTGATTCTTTTGTCTTGTTTTCGAATTGATGAAACTGCTTCAATAATAAATACACTCTATGGTTTGTATCAGCAGCTGTAAAGAGGAAAATAAACTACGACTTCTTTAAAAAAAAAAAAGATAATTTAAAAAGGATTTCTTTGTTCATTAATAAATATGACTTCCAGTATGTTAAGTCAGTTCAAGTCAAAATGCTTTGGAATTCACACGATTCTTTATTATTCAGACAAAAGTCTTCCTTCAAATCCTGACTTTGCATATCTCCCAACTTTTATGGACTGATACCAAATCAAATGTTGATTAGAGGAAATAAGGCTCATCAGTGAATGCACAAATGTGTTTGGATGTTAGGATCTGGGAAATAAAGGTAAGTTATTTAAAAGTCTACCATATGTGCTGAAAATACTGACTGATGGTTTACATAGCTCTCAGCAATTTCCTATACGCAAAATGTGAGAAAATCAAGGTCACTAAGCGTTTTTTATTTAAACATTCTCGGTTAAATGGTCATTAAAACCCTTAAATAAAAACTACAAAATAAATGTTTATTTAGCGACACTGTTAACCGTATAAATTAGTTATATTGTACTGTAAACTATATAGTCTAGCTTTCAACACAAGCTGTAGGTCAAAGAGCCTATAGCATCTCAAAAAGGTTGAAATGAGTAGCCAAAATGTAAACCACAACAGAAACTGATTAGATTCAGCTATTAATTAGCCCTTTATAGTTGATAAAAGATCTACAGATTGGATCCACAATACTCAATTTACTGCTAAATCCTATTGTATAATCAGTTGTGTCGTCTTCTGTGGGGAGATTGATTTTAGGGGCCCATGACTAAGCTCTGCCCCCAAATAAACTTATAAAACATAAAATAATAAGCAATAACTTGAATAGGAATGATAGTCAAATATATAATGCATAGTAAATAAAACATAGTATGCATTGTTTTAGGTCAAAAGGTTAGGTTTAGCATAAAAAAATTTCAACCGCCTGTCTGTGTTGGGAGCACAGTAAAAAGTCACTCCGTGGACCCCACAATCACTAGCGGCGCCCCTGGTCATCATCACGCGTTGGTTGCAAAACATCAGCAGGGATAAAAAGGCCATGTAGGTCTATGTGGACACTGGTGGGAATTGTGGCTCGGGCGATTTCCTTAAAGTTTTTCGCATCAAGTACAAGTAGAAACGGAGCGACGTCAGGTTCGAGAGAGATGACAGATGACAGAATTACACCTGGAGGAATTATGAAAAAATAAAAATCAGGATTGTAGAAAATAACGTAGTGTAGTATTGAACGCTAACGACACTCACCGTCGTCCTCCTCCACAGCTCCAGGAGAAGCCACAAACACGGGCTCTGAGGGGTAGCATTTATCCTGCTGCCACTCCAGGTGCTCCCTCGTGACAATGTCGATTTTAGCAATCTGTGTCAGTTTAACACGAAATGACAAATTAACGGTGATAACAACAGTTTGATTATTTAAGTACAAAGTACTGCTGTATTTTGGTCTTATTATGGAAACAAATGTAGCGTATTACACGTTGTAACTCATGCGCCGTGAGAGATCGTTAGGTGTGACACGGGAAAGTATCCAACTTAATTACATTGTTTTCTGAACTATATGTCTTTGCTCTTGTGACAGGTAAAGTAATGAAATGCTTTTCCGCTAGGTGGCAGCAGATGGTTATAACAACTAAAAGAGGCGTGAGACAGCCGTTCCTATCAGCGTTGTGTTCAGCTGAACAGGCCCAAGTTTCATGAAGAGTAAGTAAAGTGTGAGAATATTTGGATTTTCGGCGACAAAAAAACGAGCTAGCAATGTCTTAACAACAATGCTAAATATTACTATAAAATAAAGCAGAAAGTCCTAAAAATAATGTTTTAAAAATGGCTCCAACATTCAACCAAATGTTAGCTTAACGTGGTTGACGATAAAGCCTCACCTTGTTAGGATGTGGTGACCATTCAACCCTGGAGCCATAGAAGTATCTGTACTTCATAGTGTTGAAGTTGTAGTTGATTCCAGGAAGTTCCAGGCCTGCAATTAGACTTGACTAGTAAAACAATGGATTTGAATACATGTTTAAATGGCAAGTGTCTCCAACCAAACCTTCAAATACGGTGTCAGGCTGACAGTAGACGGAGCCATCCTCCTGTAGAATTGCCTGAGCTGATGTGTCTGACAGCGTCACCAGGTTGACACCTCTGGGAGATTCCTTAAAATACATGAAACCATTAATCATCAGGGAACCTCAGGTTGTGGGATACATCTAGGCTTATGTCTATATGTTCTACTTATTGACCCCTACCTAGGCTGTGGCCTATACTATACTATACTATCTTGTCCAGCACTTAACCATAAGCCTATAAGCTCAGCCTATATTCTAGATATAGGCTACAGCCTACACTTTAGATGTTACATTGGTGGCAGATAATATTGGTAATCGCCTCAGTAGGCTGGATGCTGTACTTTGTAGCCTACACAGCCCACATAATTTAGGCAGAGATCTACATCATCTTACCTGCATTGTGTGGCCAACACAGATCAGATAATTAAAGCTGCAGATTAAATGTTCTTGTCTTTGTATCCTGAATATATTACAATCCACATTTACTGACATGTAGGTTCCCAAAAGCATTGCATTATGGCATATGTTTGTAGTAAATAGCTGAATAATAGTTAGCCCAGAGAAAACTTAGCTTCAGACCTTACTAACCTTGTGGACATTGAGTGGAACCACAAATCTTTGGCAGATAGGTCTGGAGGAGTTCTTGTTTTCCTGTACAAAGTTCTCCGCATCTTGAACTACATTTCTGATGTAAAACATTTCATAAAGGTGTCCGTCAGTGTAGGTGATTAGGTCGAATACTAAGTTATCGTCCTCTTCGTAGGCATTGATGTGATGGAAGACCACCAAAGCGTCAGCATGGTACCTGGTGGACACCTCCTTTCCTGTCTTTCTGTTGATGATGTGAAACAGCGTCTGTGATGGACACAAAAAGAACTGTTTGTTTACTTACCGTCCAATCAAGTCAATATATAATAAAACGTATATAGTGGAACCTCGGTTGTCGAACGCCTCCCTTTTCCTTTTCACGAACAAAATTTTTAACCACAAAAAGCCCCAGTTGTCGTACGAAAACTTGGTTGCCGAACAAGGGACAGTACCATGAAAGCAGTTCCTATGAGGAAAAATGTTTTGTTCACAAACCGCCTCCAGGAATGAATTAAGTTCAAAAACCGAGGTTCCACTGTACAAGAAACTTGAGGAACTCCTCAAGTCTTTATTATTGTCTTGCTTAACATTTATATTATCTGTTTTGTTCCCATAATTTGACTTATTGTTAATTTTTGTTAACAACAGTTCTATCTCTCAGCAGATTAAAAGGTCATTAAAGTCCTGGAAATGTAGGAACCTACTATGTCATCTTTGTCAAATTTAAGGCAGTTGCCCCAGTTGTCTCCTCTAAAGTAGGCGGTGCCAAGTTTGATGATGTCCAGTTTAAAGGGCTGCTCCACAAAAACAATGAAGTTCTCTGTCATTCCAAAGCTGTGGAAGTAGCTCGGGAACAGAGAGGAGCGCATTGGGATAGAACAGACTTTTTCAACTTTCTTTAGGGCTGGCACTTTGTTTTCTTTGTCTGTAAAAGATGATGGAGGAGAGTTGATGTGATGTCAGTTGTCTTTCAGTTCCTGCTGTACCAAAGAAATCTCCCTGCTCTGAGAGTAAAAGAGGTTTAGTTCTGGGAACATTAGACTGTTGAAACAGTTTTTGGAGGACTGACTTTCATAGTGAAATATTATTTCTCTCACAAACATTTTGTGTTTCGGAAATTAAAATATTTGTTGTGCTTATACTATCATGTATTATAAACTTCTCTCAAGTGGATACAGTTACCTGTATTTTTTACAAATTACAATTATACAAAATTAACGTATTGATTATACCACTTATCTTGAGTCCACTTTAAAATGAAAAGAGAGTGAAAGTGAAACTCGTCCTTGTGGTTTCAATGTGTCAACCTAAAAAAGAGGACTAAACTTCTCTGGCTGTCTGTAGTTCTGTCACTACTCTCTTATATGTTGGCATATTGTCATATACATCCATTATATAATGTAATTAATCGGTACCTTTAGCGTCGACTGGGACTCTGAAGATGACATACTTGGGCAGACCAAAGCCTTGGATGGCTGTTCCCATGTTGTATGTGTTGCCTTCATTGTCATAGTGAGGATGAGCTGTGGCCAAGTTCAAGGCGATGTGGTTTCTGTAGTTTATCTGGAATTTAGCAAAAAAATGTTTTTTTGTTTGGAGTCTGAAGAAGAGTCAATGTTCCTAATGGTGTTTCCAGGACTAACGTACTCTTCCCACGGTCTCCAGAGTAGTGGGGTCAATCTGGTTCATGTAGTTGATCTCTGAGGAGGCGTAGTAGTCCTGTCCATATCGAATAATATTGATCAGGTTGTTGTCAGTGAAGTCAGGGATGATGTTCCTCAGGTGAGTGAAGGTTCTACCGATAAGAACATTGTTAAACTGTAAGTTTTTTTTTTTTTTTTAAGGATCGTAGGTGGCTGTATTTAGAAGGACTCTAAGTGTTCTAGAGTGTTCTTAGTTGTAATCCAACTCTAGATCCATGGGCTTCCTTGCTTGGTTCCTACAAGGTGTGAAACCCCCCTAACACTCAGTACATTTAAACAACTGTGGAGTCAGGCGTCTGTACCTGGAGAAGATGTTCTTGCAGGGATCAGGATAAGCCATAGTTCCAAACTCAGTAATGATGATTCTGTTGGCTTTTATGTTTCGCTTGTAGGTTTCACTCTTAAGGAACTTGCTCCTGTAGATCACCTGACCTGAAACAACATGTCAGTAAACCAATGCAGTAGATCCAAACGTCCGTGGACAGATCTTTCTGAAAAAACCCAGATCTGACCATCTGTGAAGGTGAAGCTGTGGATCAGTGACATCCCATCAAACCAGTGATTGTATTTGGAGTTTCCAACAGAGAAGAGCCCCGGTCCGTTCCGCAGCAGAGTTCCCTTTAGCCATGGTGGGATGGAGCCTGTGGGATGCAGCACAAACACCAACACACAGGTGAGTTTGAATTGCAACTCAAACTGTTCACTTACAAGAGAAGGAAAATACAGAAAAGGTTAAGATTTTAGGTTAAAATATCTAACCTAAAGTTAAAATATATGTTTACATAAAACTAAATATAATTATGTATGGCATTTAATAAAATTAAATATATATGTAGTTATAAACATATATATGAAAAGTAAAATGAATATAAAATATATAAAATGAATAGGAACAACATAAAAGCTCACCTGTCACCTCAGCTTTCACCGGCTCTGGAGTCTCTGAGCCATTTTTCCCAAAGACAGTGTGCATACTTGGTGTTCGTCTCACTAGCGTGACTAGTGAACTGGCAGCTGAATCTGCTTTTAAAGCTGAACTGTCCAGAGGACGTGGTCATCACCATGTTCATCCAGATAAGTCCAGCAGAGTAAACAGTGCAGGTCTTATGTAACAGAAGCTCTGCCAATTCTTTTTCCTTTCAACGTAAAAGTCCCTGCTTCAAAGTAAAACACTCAGTTTGAATGGGACACTTATTTGTGTTTTTACTGTTTATTAAATACTTAAGCTGCTCAATAGTCAGTGATCACCACTGTCTCTGTGATTGTGCCCTTCATGATGCAGATATACATTATATAGGACAGATCTAAATGCAGACAGGACAGTCATAAACATGTGCTCAGCATTTTACCTTAAGTAGTAGAGCAAGAAAGACTATTTATCCCCATCTTTGGGTCATACCTGGATGTTGTGTGATCCTTTTTTTTTATTCAAAACTTTGATGTTGTTGTTTCTTTTATAATCAAACTTTCTTTAAAATGTAGCAGAAAATGGTTCGTTAAAATGTGTGGTTGTTGTATAATGTTGAGAAAGAACTCTGCTCCGTGCAGCTGAGTCAAGTTAACCTGAGCTTATAATAAAAAGCTGTAAAACCATAAACCAATTTAACCAATTAGAGAGTCTAAAGATCAGACAATCTGATCTATTTCCCCTGCTCAGGAAAATAAACCTGCACCCGAGTCCATCAAACTGTTAAATAACCATTTTGATTATATTTATATTTACACTTTTTTACTAATTTGACTTGAGGTCAGTCAGATTATGTACCCTTATTTGTCTTTTGTCTCATATTGAACTACTCTATACATATCCAGCCTGGAGGCTTAGTCAAAGCTTCAAATGAAGAGTTTAAAGGTAGACACTCACTGTGTGTTTATAGCCTTTCATTATCAGGTAGTAAAACAGCTGATGGTGTGTTATCGTCCACCACTAGATTATCAGACACAGTTCAATGTTTCATTCTGATGTGCAGGTAAAGTTACTGACAACCAGCTCCAGTTGAAATGTCTGACCAAATCCAGAATGAATTAACATTGTTTCCTCAACCTTGGTCAAATATATATAACTTAATAGAAATAATTACAATTAACAACTTGGTCAGGAGTTAATGTATGCTTTAAATAAAATGAGAAAGAAAAAAGATGACTGAAAGTCTGCCTGGAGGAAACTAGAAAGTCTGTTTGATTTATTGGTTGATTTAAAAAAGAGAAAATTTAATTAGGATGAAAAATGAAGTTTATTACAAACAACAACAGTTAGCAGTCAGTTAGCAGCTGTTAGTTCTGTACAAATAACACTGTTGAATTGGGTAGAGTTGAGTTTGACCCTCACTAAACAGCACCTACGTCCTTCTCTGGTTGATCACACAACACTGCTCACTGCTTTACTGCTACATTTTCAATAACCCTTCGTATTGTGCTCTTTTTGTGCACTAGCATCCATCCTAAGCCCTCAGTAGTAGTCCATCCTAACCTAGAGCAGTGCACTAGTCTGTTTATAACCATCAGCCATGTTCTTGAACCATTCTTTTTAGTAGGGAACTAGAGTAGTGGACTGAACCTCCTCCTATCCCCCTAGTATTGCACATCCTAAACCCTTTAGAGGTGCCCTCAATCCATGCAATAGAACACGTCCTTAACCCTCAATTAGAATCCACCCTGATTCCTCGGGGGTGTACGAGAATCTGTTCTGAACCCTAAATCCCTCGTTTGCCCTCTGTAGTGCAAGAGTGAAGTCAAAGCCGTCAGGAGTGCACTAGAAACCAGCCTAAATGATCAGCACCATACACATGAAGGGCTGTGTGGCTCATTAAGGACCGGGGTGTTGTCTGAGAATGGCACGAGAGTGAGGGAGAGACAGAGACCCATAGTAACAGAGAGAGAGAGAGAGAGAGAGAGGAGAAGCAGTGTTTCAGTAAAAATAGAAGGTCACAGTAGGTGGCGCTGCTGCTGCTGCTGCCTGACATATAGACAGACAGACGGAGACAGGTGGACAGAGAGACAGTGTCCAGAGTCTATTTACACTTACGGGGAACAGAAAACGCATAATCTGAAATTGGGGGGGCTTACAGAGGGGGCGGGGCTTCTCTGGGTAAACTATAAACATAAATTAAAACTTAAACAACAAACCAACAGGTGTCTCTGTAAACAGGACAATTTGTCATGGCAACGCTACAGTGGGACACTGGAAGTGTCTGTGAAAAAACATCCACACACACGCACACAGACATACACACACACACAAACATACACACATGCACACTCACGCACTCGTACAGACATTTACAGACAAACAGTTTTTTAACCATATTCTTATTCTTATTATTATAATCTTCATCTTCATAGTCCTTATCATCATCTGTGTGTGTGTGTGTGAGAGTGAGTGTGTGTGTGTGTGTGCGAGCGTCCTCAGTCATTTTATGCACACTATTCACAGGATGTTGATGATGATTTTAATGATGTGTGGACGACTCGCTCTTCACTCTTCATACACATCTCTTTTTCTTCTTGATATAAACTGTCTCTTGTTGCTTGGCAACGGCAGCATCCTTCATGATGTCCTCAGTGATATGGACAACGATGTCACCCATCTCCTAAAGGTCACGTGGTCAGGTCAGTTTTTGCAGTGATCCACAGAAAACAGTTTATGACATCATTGGGCTCTAACTAGTGGGTGCAGTAAACTGATGGGAGCCCCCTGTAAGAGGGGTGGGATTTAACAGTACCTGCTGCTGAAGGTGTGCGTGTGTGTTAGTGTGAGTGGGTGGAGCTAAAAGTAGTGATTTCTACCTGAACAGTCACATGTACTAAATGTTTTTCTCCTTTTTTTTTGTTTATTTCCTTCTAGTCTGAGCTCAGTGTAGTTGAGAGTCACTAATTCTTTGTAAAATGGCTGATTATAAAAGAATAATGTGTTTACTCATGACTGGTCATTAACTGAACAAATGAATAAACTATCCTGTTTGCACATTTAAATATATTTTTTAAAGATGACAAGGAGGTAAATTAAATATTTCTATGTCTTTCCATTTTATTTAGTAAGTGATAAATAATCTAAATTATATAAATAATCTACATTTTAACAGTGGAGCCCTCTGTATGCTGCTTCCTTTCTAGGTCATACTATAGTCTCTGTAGTCCACAGCAGTCCACCAGAGAAAACTATCAAAGTGCTTCATGTCTCAGGAAATACAGTTACATTTAAAGTAATGATGGAAATCATAAAAATTAAATATATTCACAAATGAACTCTTGGTGTGAGCTTTTCCCTTCTGTAGTTGAAATAAAATTCTTACTGTTGATGAATATACATGTTTCATATACATTATTGTATATATCGTTTCATCCCATGTTAAAAAGATAACACCAACTCCTAATATGACTTAAATGAAATATTTGATTCAAAGTCAACTTCTGCTCCAGGTCTAGCTGAATGTGACTGTAATGATAACTGTCACCAGTAGAGGGAGCTAAATGAACAGCCTACAAACGTGATGCTGGACAGGTTATTCCTCAGTAAATAAATACCAGTTATTCATGAGGCCAAATAAAGGTGATAAAGTGTTCTGTTCTAGTTTCAACTCCCAGTTCTTGTTTTGAATATAGATGGCTGAGCTTTAGGACATTATGTGAAGTTTTTCTTCTTTTTTTAAACAAATGAGAGCTGACATCACCACCTTTAGGCTCCACCCTTTTAAGTCTGAACCCTGATGATTAGCTGTTGGTGTGTGTATGTGTGTGTGTGTGTGTGTTTGTGTCAGTGTGCATCCAGAACGCTTCGTGGCACCCAGCCCTCCGCAGCTGGTGAGTCGCTGTTGGCTGGTCTGTAAACCAAACTCTGGCCCTGCTGGTTGGAGGCCAGGATCTGGACCTTCTCGCCTTGGAACACAGAGATTTCATCCTCACGCACAGCCACAAAGTCCTGTAGCACCAGTACCAGCTCCTGATTGGACAGAGAAGATGAAATCGTCACTCAAGTGCTGACCAGGCAGCAGAATGTGATGGATGTGAGCTTTACTGGTACCGACCTGGTCATCCTGCTCACCATCGGGCTGCGGTTGAGGGGCGTGACCATTGGGAGTTGGCGGGGCCGAGGGCGGTCGACCTGAAGACAGTGGGCGAGTAATTGAAATCCCTCCCTCTTTTCTCTGGTACTCGATAGGAGACTGAAGAGCTACAAAAGAGAAAATGGAAGCAGGATGAAGATACAGAAGAACTTTAGGTGACTCCAGACTGAGGGGTCAGAATGCTTTTATTTTACAAATAAAAGAATGAATGAACTGACCTGACAAAAAGTTGTTCTGAGCATCCAGCAGGGCGGCGATAGTCTCCACCCAGGTCATCTTGATGCTGGAGGAGGACGCCTGCAGGGTGAAGCGCTCGGCTGAGCCCCTGGACCACAGCAGGAACTTACAGGGATCTCCATCTACGCTTTCCTGCATGGCCAGGTAGCTCACCTAACATCACGGTGATATCACAGTGACATCACAGCACTGTCAGAACCAGAGCAGACTTGCATTTATTTTAAATCCAAATCCTGATGCAGTTTCTCACCTTGATGCTGTTCTTGAACTGGTATCCAGGGTTGTTGGAACCTTTTCTCAGGAGCTCGCTGAAGATGATGATCTGCTCAAAGAGGAAAACACGGCGCTCTTTACTGCGAGACAAAACCCCGCCGTCCTGCTCCCACACACAGAAGGTCTCCTGCTGCAGCAGCTTCCCCTGAGACGTCAACTTCCCCTGGACATATATACAGGTAAAGGGACAGGTCAAGACAAGCAGTTCTAAAGGGACAGTTCAGTATTTTCCCATACAAAAGTCTTGTTGATCCACAGCTGTCTTCATCGCCTAACATCTAGTTTCAATTCAGTTTATTTACTTATTTGCACCTCATATCCCTGCAGACGTCCCAGGTTCATCATGTCGTTGCACCGTTTTGGAACCAATGACATCAGTTCTGAGGCTTTCTGTGAACAATACACAATAACATGACGTTCTCATCCCTTGCAGAACAAAAACACATCATTCAGGCTGTTGCTTTAAAGATTGACAATTTTCCCAGACTCACCTCCACCTCCTCACAGTCCAGGCCTGCTTTAGACGTGTACTTCAGAAAGTCCTATAAAGACAGACGAGACCAGCAGAGATTATAAAATAGTGTCAGACTGTGAGCAGAGACAAAGGCTGTTGGTTACTGACCTTCAGCAGAAGCTGGTACTTTGTGATTCTCTGGATGGGTTTAATAAGATAATCACTGATGGACATTCTGCAGCTGATCTCATGCTGGATTTCCTGCAGACAGATGGACAAAAAAAAACTGTTCAACCAGTTTGTGGCTCATCTGTGGTAATAGTTCATAATCAGCTACAGTTGGTATTGTAGACTGTTGGTCAACAAAGTTGTTGTTGTATGTTAGGTTAGCCTTCCAACACACAAATGACTCTTACGGAATCAAAAAAACCAACATCCCTAACAGCAGTTTTAATGAATGAAGATTCTTTACCTCAAAGAAAGTCTCGTACTCGATCACGATGAACTCTGAGCGAGGTTTGTTCTGACAATAAACAACGTACATGTGTAGACGACGCTCCTGCAAAGCATAAACCCAGCTCAAAGTCAGCCAACCAGCTCAATTATAGCTACAACCTAAAAAAATGAAATCTCAAATTATTTACAGTTAGCATGAACAGTTAACATAAAAATAAAAATGTATTCAAAACATCTTAGTGCTACTAAAAAGCTAAATCCTGTGCAAAAACATGTACCTACTGAGCCACTAAAGGCACATGGGAAAATAAATAAACAAACATTTAGGTTCTTCAATGAAAGTAACAACATGATCCAAGCGTTGTAAGTCCTGTGTGAATGTAAACAAACTAACTCCTGCACTGACATGTTCATACAATAGGCTATTTTCAGGTGAGCACCTGAAGGTTTTCTGGTGCTCACACAGAAATGTCAAATGTATCAGAATCCATAAATTCATTAATTTGAGTTTTTTTTTCTTCTTGTTCTATGACGGCATCTTTAAGGCGGTCACAGCATGAAGACGTTACACCTACATGTCTGATGAAGAGGTCAGCGAGCAGGTCGTGGTTCTGGACGCAGCGTTCCAGCTCCACCAGGAAGAAGCTGGAAAAGAGAGAGGTCAGGTCAGCATGAATGAGACTGCAGGCGTCTCTACACGTGTGTGGACATGAGTTCGAAACACGTACTCGCGGTGCCAGTCATAGATTTGCTGGATGTTCCCAAAGACAATTTTGTCTTTTCCTCTCATGTCTTCTGGAATTCCTCGGACATCTAACCTTGACATGAAACCCTAAAACAGACACACACACTCAGGTTAGTGTTTTGCCTATCCATTTTATTTTGTCTATTTTGGGTGGAGTTTGACTTTGATGGGGGGCTTCATTACCTCCACAATCACACCGAGATCCTTCACATAGTCCTTCTCTGATTGGATCATCTCATTCACCACGAACCTGTGCGCCCACACACACACACACAGAAATACAGTCACTGTGTCTGTGTGCTTGTTCAATATTAATGACAAAAACATCAGTACAAAAGATGACAACAAAAGGTAGGAATAGAGGAAACAACTGAAAATAGAAAAAAAAAACTAGAAGGTAGTACGATGTGTGTCTCTCACATTCTTCCTCTTAGAGCTTTGTTTCTCTGCTCAGTGTCTGATTCGTTGGAGCCTTGATCTGAGTCCAGAGCCTAAAAAAAATGAAACATCTCACTTTGATAAAGCATCTAAGCGTAATAAATAAATCAACTTTAACTATTTAGTTTAGTATCTTGACTAATTTTGTTTAATTTTACTATTTTAAAATATCTCTCTATTCTCATCCTGTGCTTTTTTAAATCTAATAATCTTGGTGTATTAATTAAAAGTAATTTCCTGATTACGTATCAAAGCTCCTCCCTCTGTACCTCTGGGTTGTTGGGGTCTTTGATAATTTGCATGGGCGGTGGCAGAGGGGTGTGGTTTTCTTCTTCTGGCTCCTCCTCCCCTCCACTCTGGCCACCGTCCTCTTTCCTGGATTTCTGCAGAAACACAAATGTCACCTCAGACGACGTCTTTCTCTTGTTTTAAGTATATTTGTTGTGACACGTGTCTTCACGCACTGTCTGAGCATTTCCAGTAAGAGGCGTTGCAACCTCTGGCCTGTTGTCCCGCCTCCTGGCTCTGATTGGTTTCTTCTGTCCATCAGCTTTGCCTTGACTCAGCCTGCGAACCGGACTGGTCAACCAGCGCTGTCACAATATGGAAAAAGAACATGTCTGAATCAACAAAAATGACGAACCAATAATTAAATAAGCAGGTGAATGTTTTTAGATGTTACCTTCAAGGTGTTTCCTGTTCCTGAGCCGCTGCGTTTGGGACCAGGAGAACCCACAGTGCCCCCTGCAGCTGCTGTTACGGCCTGCACTGAGGGGGAGGAAACACCTGAGGAAAAGAACATTGGAGTCAGGGAAGTGAAGTTTACTGTACGTCAGAAATGCTCTTTAAAATGAATATGACCCACTACTGTTCTGATTGTGAAGTCCCTGACCTTCAGAGCTGTAGAGACCTGCAGAGTCTGAACGCACAC